TTTGTATTGTATTATACAATATTTGCCCCAAAAGCAACATTTATTTTATGTAAATGAATTTTAGTGGACAACTTCATCAAATAAAACACACAGACAAACTCAAGCTCTTTTAATGTCTGGAAAAATTTCTTGAAAAACTAAAATTGCACTTAATTTAAAAATAGTAGTAGTAGTAGTTAAGATCCCTGTCCAAAATTGAGGAGACTTAAGTTAAAGTTTAAGATGTTTCCTTCTGAACATAGTGTTTCTGTGCTCACTGTGACATGTTTTGCATCTAAATGGTATCGTAGAGTTGAGGTGCTGTGATATGCAAACTCTGTTCTGTAAAGTTTACAATAAACAACACCTTTGTAAATACTTCCATCTGGTAGTTTTTTTTAAAATAGAAATTTACCATCCAGCAGACCCAGAGGCTTTCATGCTCCGTTATTTTTGTAGTCGGAAGTGTCTGCTTCAGTATAATTGTCGTATCACGACATGGTGCACTGACAAAAGTTGTGCATTGTTTGGCATGTAAAACTGCGATAAAATGTGTTAATATCTTTAATACATTCTTTTCTTTGCAATTAATTAATTGTAATTAACATGTTAATGTCCCACCCCTAATTATTATATAAACGTATATGTACAAGTAAAAATAAAATAGAGAAATATAGTCTCAAATATATCTCAGCTTCAGCTATGTACAAGAAGTCGTAAGGAGAAAACTATGCAAAGATGAAATAATGATTGGCAGGACATATAGAATACTTTACTTTTTTTGGAGTGACAATGTCCAGTTATTTTGCATATTGGCTTGTTGTACATTTATTTCAATTTGTATGAGAAACTGAAAAACTCACTTTAGGCATTTTTTCATGTGGCAAAGTCAGCACTAGCCCAATCTGAGTGAGGATCAGGTAGCAGTAGCAGTAGCACAGAAGCTAAATCCCAGTAGCATTGTAACCTAACACGGTGCAGGACGTTAGCTTAGCATTAGCGAGTGGGAAAATACAGTGTAAATGATTCAACAGCACCTCGAAGCGGCACCGGCACTCAAGCTAGCCGTCTGAAATCATTAGCAGTGTACTGTAATGGAATTTACTTTTTCATAAATGATAAAATGACATTAAAGGTTCTATATAACGTGAAATTGACTCTTGTGAGCTTTAAGCCAAGTTATAATGTTTCCTCATTAAAAACATACCTGGAGTTGTGTATTGTTTCATTCACACACTTTGAGCATCTTTATTATTAGTCTGTTTACATCTCCAAAGGTCAAAATGCTCTGCCACTTTGTTTTGTCATGAAGTTTTCAAGTTAATGGCTACTTTTTACCGTGTATTTAGTAGAGTTTGGCAAGTCCAGGGCTGAAATTATCCAAATGATTCTAGTTTTAAGTTAAAGTTTAAAAACACAGTGGAAGACTTCCTGTATTACCACATAACATCACAAGGTGCAACAGAATATCCTAGTTATTAATTGCAGTGTTTTTTGTTCAGTACAACTATATTTTTAATGAGGAAACATTAAATAAATCAGAAAATGGCGTCATTTGGGCCTGTTAAACAATTCTCAGATTCTTGATGACATTGTGCGTCATATTGGCTGCTATGCTAGTTTGTGTACACTGACCTTGTATCCTTTGGCAAAACACTGAACTTGTGTTGATAAAATGTCACAACAAAGGTTACATTATAAATGTGAGTTTGCTGGTAGTGTGCATTAAATTCATTTTTGCTGATCTTTTAAAAAGAAACATGGTGAAGTAAACATGTAGTGTTTGTCATTTCCCCATAGAAGTAACAAACTCATAACATAAAACTCTTTAATTAATCTCAACCAGCATGCCCTTCTGGTTCAAACCAGTAACTGCTTGTAAACTGTGGCTAGAGTGGGCAGTGTGAGTGAAGTGTCTTGCGTATAAACACAATAGTTTTAAGTATTTTAGTTTTTATTAAACTAAATGTGTACTTTTTATCTTTTAGTTATTGCATGTTAAGGTGCAATGTAGCTACCAGGTAATCAATTACATAGGCCTATAAACTTAAGGTAACATATGAAATAATATTTATTAATTCATTCATTAAAATATTTGTTGCAGAGAAGTTACCTGTAACATAAGTAGAAGTACATTTGCATCGGCCATGTTAAGTGTTTTGGTCAAAAGAGTCCCCACGCAGCTAGAGCACCTTAAGAAGGTTCTGCGGCAGACAACTGTGTGCTCTTGAGGAGGGGTGTCCAAATATTTTAGCTTTTTGAATCTAGCAGATTTATACAATTATCACTGTTAAGTTAATAAAGAGAGTTCTATTTTTGTATTGAACTTAACTGAATAAACATTATCACTGTTTTGCTAAGTTTAACTTTTAAAATATTATTAAACTCACCTGTACTTACCTGCACTGGAGTATGGGAGTGCCCAATTAAGGGAGGTGCTCTATAAAAGGAGCCAACCTCAGTCTGCATAAAGCTGAGGTGCTGTGTGGACAGGCTGTAGATTTTTCTTTAGTATTTCTTTTTTGTAACGGTCTGCACTGTTCCTCTTCAAACCCGCTGAAGTTGCGATATCTGAGTTATTACACAAGACATGAAATGGACACACCTTGAAGGGAGCAGTTGACATTGTTTTAACTGTCTAGTGTCTGTTGCAATATAACTGGTCTGTTGCGATGATATTATGTCTTATAAAAATCTGCTGGTTGAGACATTCACCCATGTTTGCTCAGGTTTGCCGGTTTTATCCTTGCTTTTGTGCATATTGATACTTTTCAGCTGATGTCATCAAGATTCTGTGGGTGGTGATGCTAACTGTAAGCACTACTCTCTCTGACGCTCTGTTACTCAGTTTAGACTTTAATTTGAGTTTTATTTTAGCACAGTGTGACCAGAAAGAGTTGGTTTAGTTGGAACGGCAACAACAGGTGAGCTGATTTGTGCTGTTAAACAAGTCTCTCTAATTATAACATTGCAGTCACAAGCTAGATGGCATTATCCAGCAGTTTTTTAATTAGCCACTCTCCTTTTTGTTGAAAATCAAACACATAAACAGGCCCATGAATGCTCGTATTGATCGCAGGCTTATGAAAATTTGCAGTTTAAATCCATTTTGTATTTTCTTTTTATTTTCTTGAGTTTCAGACTATTTAAAGCATTTTTGGCAGTGTTTGCTATACGTGCATTGTGTCACCATGATAAATGCTGACCATTACGCTATAGAACCTCCCCTTCCCCAGCATGATACCACTGCAAAGTATCAATACTGTTGTTGTGTCCTTGGGCAAGACAACTACAGTAAGATTTGTCCTCTGGTGGTGGTGCCAGGCTGGTTGTAAACAGGATTGCCTTACACTTGTACAGACAGTGGCCTTGTGATCCTCCTCTCATATTCTGACACCTTGTAACAGCTCAATGCTAAATTTGCTGTAGAAAATGTGCTCATTCATAGTAATAACTACTCCCCTTATGGTGGATAGAAGACACCCCTACATGATGTTTTCTTGATTGTTTATTGGGTAATGTTAAAGGTACACTGTGTAGCTTGCCTGGTGTAGGGTCCGTCATCCATTTGTCTCCGTGGAGATGTGCCAGAATGTTCCACAGTATGACTATAAACTTAATAATCTTCATGGAGACTTAGAAATCACATTACAGGTTAGATTTATAGAGAGATGGCCCCACTCACTGTAAGAATGAATGTTTTTTAAGATATTGTCAAGCACTTAAACACCTGTAGTTACTGTGAACAATCTAAACCAAAGCATTAACATCTCCATGGAGACAAACTGGTTGCGTACAGTCTCCAGAAACGTTTTTTTAAATAGTTTTTGTTATGTAATTTCACAGTGTAATCAGACATAGATCACATTTACATGATGCTTTTTAATTCCAAAATAATTGTTCTGAATTAAATAGTTCAGAATTGAAATATTCAAATTTGAGTTTACTTGGAAATAATAATTCCTAATTGAGGTTTACATGGAAAACACGTCAATTCCGCTCAACATCTGGGAGTCGGAAAGAGTTCTGATTGAACAGGGGGCCCACAAACATATTTACGCCTACGGGGAGAAACACATTTCAGCTGCTACAGGCTTTTATGTCATCTTGGTTTGTCGTTACGGCATGGACACAAACATGATATGTTTTTCGCAGTTGTTCCGATGATAAGGAAGCAGCAGCTTGAGAATTCTATCAACACTCTTTACGTCTGTCAGCTGAGGAGGTGGAGGGAAAAGTGTCAGAGAAGGAAGGAAAAAGACAAAACTGAATCAACGGCTGCTCTACTTTAGCCCACTCCCGCATTCTGAATCATTTCATTATTTGTAGTTCTTCTAGTGCACTTATTAAAAAAATGGTTTCGAAGAGCAATCCAATGAGCATACGCTGAACAGCTGAAATTATTTTTAAGAAGAATAAACGTTTACATGATCAAGGAATAAATAAATTTGTCTTAAAAATTGGAATAAACCACCCACTTACTTCATAATTAAGTTTAATTCCGAATAATCTGTTTTATTAAGAATTAAGTGTTTACATGGTCTTTTTAAAGCGGAATTAATTTTTTATTCAGAATTAAAGTATTTTTATTTGGAATTAAAGCCCTCATAAAAACATGGCAATAGATAAGTTGTATGTACCAACAACTAATGCTATAGGGAATGATTTCCCTACTTATTCTTTCTAAAGCCCATTAGATGACTCACAAGACTGTTTAGTTTATTTGTAACGGTAAAAATGTTCATATTTCTCTTACAAATATTATGGCTGACAGTTAAATAATTGCCTCCTTTGTGTATTTCTAATTGCTATGATTCAAATAGCAATTTCAGTTCAATTGCTTCTATCCTATTAGCATTGCCACTTATACTTATGCTAACATGTCCCGGCTGGACCTTAATATGACGATGACTAATAGTGTTTCTCATTGCAAAACTACCCACTGTTTTTTATGAAGAATTGATTGCTTGTATGGGATTTCGCCAGCTTAGTAATGGACTGTGCCTTTTTTGTCTCTGCAGCTCTTCAGGGAAGTCAGAATAATGAAGATACTGAATCATCCAAATATAGGTGAGTTCACTGTACAAAGACCCACACAATACACTCAGCTTAAACTATAATCTCACCTGCACCACCCAGCACAGAGCCACACCTGTAAAACGTGCTGTTCACAGGTGGGCAGAGTAACAGAGTACTTTGTAAACGAGTACTGCTACTTAAAAAATCTTACATTACACAAAATTGACTCTTGTGAGATGCTAGAATATTATTGTCCCATCAAAAACATACCTGAAGTTCTGTTTTGTGTCATTCCCAGATGTTTCAGTATTTTATTATTAGTCTGTCTACATCTGCAAAGCTCAAAATGCTCTGTTCCACCTTTTGATGTCACGAGGCGGTAGCTACCTTTTACCTTTTGTTCAGTAGAGATTCGCATTTCAAGGGCTAAAATTATCCAAATGATTCTAGTGAAGGTGTGTGGAGTTTATGGAGCACTTCCTGTATTACCACATGACATCACAAGGTGGAACTGTTTGAGAGAAGAACTCATCCTAAACATCCAGGTTTGTGTGATAAAAATATGTGAATGAAACAAAACACAAGACAAGGTGTGTTTGTGATGAGAAAACATTAGACCATAGATCAGAAAATGTCATAAGATGGGCACTTTTGTAAAAAGTAGTGACCCCAAATTAAAAAAGTATTTAGAGAAGTTACAACTTGAGTACTAAGTAACAGTTTGAACATAGAACAGAAGTAAATAGTGTTGGCTACTCCAAATGTATATTCATGTAAGAGTACTGTTACTTCAAAATAATATTAGCAGTGGACAGTGGCAAAACCTCATAGTAAAGTAGTAAAGTAGTAAAGTACTATATTAAAGTAACAATTTTAGTTGTCTTTACTTTATTTAAGTAGATTTAAAGTGGATAATTTTTACTTTTACTTCACTACATCTGAGAGCAGGTATCTGTACGTTCTAGTATTATGTATAAGTATTTTTTTATGATAGTTTGAGACCTGCTGAAAAGGCTGAGGAGTTTATTTAACATGTTCCTACTCTGAGCAAACTAAAATATACAAAGAAAAACTGCTGGAAAAAAAATCAATTCAGTTTCAGTACAAATCTTTATCAAAATCACGACATTTGAATCTTTATCTTTTAGACCTCAAAATCTGTGCAACATTCTTTTACTTTTTTCTCTTTAAGTACATTTTGAAATGGGTACCCTACTTTGTGATTATACTTTTACTTTGACTTGAGTATTTTTATTTATTTATTTTTTTGCTCTTTTTTGTTGTCTGTACTTTTACTTAAGTAACAAAATTGAGTACTTCTTCCACCACTGGTGGACCAAAAAAGTAAGAGTAATGAAGTATGTGGGGACACTACTACTCAAGTAAGGGTTGAACATTCAATCAGTGTGTAATAATATGTAAGTGCTGTTATATTGTAAAATGTTACTCAAGTAGTAGTAAAAGTATGGAGTCTGAAAACTACATGAGAAGTATGATTTTATTAAAGTTACTCCAAAGTATTACCCACCTCTCCATAAACATGTTTTTAAAATCTGATCTGTGATGTAACAGGACAGACAAAGGATTATATATTAGTAGTGGACTAAGAAAAGTAAGAGTAATGAAGTATTTGCGAAAACTACTACTCAAGTAAAGGTTGAACAACACTGTAAAATGTTACTCAAGTTAGTAGTAATAAAAGTATGGAGTCTGAAAACTACATGAGAAGTATGATTTTATTAAAGTACTACCCACCTCTCCATAAACATGTTTTTAAAATTGGATCTGTGATGTAATAGACGGACAAAGGATTATATAAGTCACACACTTGACAAAGAATAGACTCAGCAAATCCTGTTCTAAAGAGTGGTTTAAGAAACACAAAGGTTCAAATCATTTAATTCTGTCAACATAAGTCTTTTGCTACTTGTAGACTTACTCACCGTAACCACAATCTTTACTCGAGTAGGAGTACTGTTACTTCAAATTAAATATTATTCAAGTATAGTTAAAGGTTCTATGTTACACAAAATTGACTCTTGTGAGGTTTAAGACATATTAGAATCTTGTTTCCTCATCAAAAACATACCTAGAGTGTGTTTTGTTTCATTCACACATGTTCAGTAATCTTTTATTATTAGTCTGTTTACATCTCTAAAGCTCAAAATGCTCTGTTCTACCTTGAGATGTCATGCAGTGCTAGTTTTCAAGTTAACAGCTACCTTTTATGTTTTGTTCAGTAGAGATTGCAATTCCAGGGCTGAAATGATCCAAATGATTCTAGTGAAGGTGTATGGTGTTTAAACACACAGTGGAGCACTTCCTGTGTTAACACATGACATCACAAGGTGGAACAGAGTATTTTCTGTCTGAGAAAAGTCTCTAAATATGCGGAATTTGTGCTTTAAACATGTGTGAATGAAACAAAACAGATCTCCAGGTTTGTTTTTGAAGAGAAAACAACATTATAACATAGACCAGAAAAAAGCGTAATATGAGCCCTTTAAAGATGTAATTTAAAAGTGTAATTTATTCAGTGCTGAAATACCCTCTCAACACTATTACATAAACTCTATATATCTATGGACAGTCAGGTTTTTCTCCTATTTTAAATGTATGTGCAGTCTCCCATTCCCCCTCACAGCTCAAAGCCACAAGCTGAGGCATGATCGAGCATTTGAGACTCGATTTAGATCTGTTTTTTCCTATCTGGCAACGCTACTCCCCGACTTATCAAAAGCATTAATCACGAAATAAGATGGAAACTGGCACTTTTGCAGGTAGCATAAAATGGTTCAGAGGAAGCCACATGCTAAATCACAATATGGCTATTCATGCTGCCATAAAACTATAATAAAAAGCTCAAGGTTAGTCAGTTCATATGAAAACTAAGTCATTTATGGCCATTGCATTCTATGAACAGCGTGTCCTTGAAATGCCAACTGCCAGAATCTCTGTTATTCAAGTTAGACTTAAAGGTGCACTATGTAACATTTTGGTTGGGGGTCCGTCACCTGCTTGTTTCTATGGATATGCCATTACTCCAGCTGGAATGTTCCACAATATGACATTAAACAGCTCTACCTTACATTTACTAAATTACAGGTGGTTTTATAACTCAAAAATACCTTGAGAAACAGGCATTCTGACTGAGCAGGGTTGTGTCTATGCAGACTTGTATCTTGGTCAGGTTTGGTCTCCATGAAGTTAGAAAGGTTTAATACCATACTGTGAAACATTCCAAACAAACAAAGCAGTAACATCTCCATGGAGAAAAGCATACACGATGCACCTTTAATCTGATCTTTATTTTAACACAATGTGACCATAAAGAACTGACTTAGCTGGAACTCCAACAGGTGAGCTGCTTTGTGCTGTTAAACACGTCTCTTACACATAATTACAGTTACAAGCTAAACAACAGTTTTTCAGTTAGTCACTCACCTTTTTTGTTGTAAATCAAACACCTAAACATGAACATGAACACTCGTATTAATCACAGGCTCCTGAAAATGTGCTGTTTAAATCCATTTTGCATTTTTTTATGAGTTTTCAGTTTATCTAAGTTTTTTATTTAGTTTGCTATTGTGTCACCATGGTATCTACTAAACATTCAGCCAATAAACGTGCATGTAGAACACCCCCGAGGATGAACAGGGCTGTAGCTGTGAAGTGGCTTTGATATCATGATATATAACTATGTGAATTTCATGTGATCTTTCTTGTTGTTGTTTTTTTGTGCAGTGAAATTGTTTGAAGTGATAGAGACGGAGAAGACACTTTATCTGGTGATGGAGTACGCCAGTGGTGGTAAGTTACAAATAACAATGGATTCTAAAGCAATACACAATTTTTACAGTATATTCCCACATACATTATTAGGCTTTAGTGTTGTCAAAAGTATCGAAAACCAAATACTAATCAATACTAAAACTAGTATCAAAACTAGATACTCATTTGAGCAGGTATCGATACTAAAAAAGTCACATTCACAGGAAAGAAATGAACCTTCCTTGAGTAGCTTTAGATCTTGGGCTGTAACAGAACAAGTATAAGGAACTGACCTGGACCACTGAGGGATTATATGTAAGACCACAGGGTAATATAAAAGAAAGTATGATTTAATGTTGAAAATCCCATTCTACTGTCTAAAGAAAGAGTGTTTTTTCAATTTTCACCATGGTATTGAAATTGATATTGAGTATCGAGTCTATTCTTTAGTGTTGACATTGAGTTTGAAAGTTTATACGTAATACACAAACAATAACTAACATGATTATTCATTTCAAGTTTATTTCCATAGAAAAGCATTTAAAACAACTTTAGCTGACCCAGTGCTTCACATAAAAGTACATAGCATAGAAATATCACAGATAATACAGTATAAAGCAAAAATAACACTGTATAGGAGCAAACAGAAAAGTATAAAATGAAATGCCAAGCTATCCTGTCTAGTTACTATTAAATACCAGGAAGATGAGGTTATGATAATGAAAACATGTGATATAATTGTTATTAACTTAGAATGTTTGTACGTTTTTGTGCTCAGGTGAAGTATTTGACTACTTGGTGGCTCACGGCAGAATGAAGGAGAAGGAGGCCCGGGCCAAGTTCAGACAAGTGAGTGGAGACCAGCGCTGTCGACTGTAAGATGTCTATAGCTGCTGTATTTATGTAAACTGCTATAGACTGTACAATGTAAAGTGTAGAACAGGAAAGTCCAAAATTTTTCCATCAAGGGCCTATACATCAAAACACAGACGAAGCAGAGGGCCAATCCAGGGCCATCTGGTGGTCAAAACTGTAAATAGTTCAAATAAGTGCTTTTGTAACAAGTTAGAATAAGTCACCAAACCTTTATTCTGGTTTTGATCCTCAATAGGACACACAAAATATTTGAAACTGGCTTTATTAAGGTTACCAAGATTTTCAAATAACCTAGAGTAAAAAGCATTTCTTAAAGTAATATGGGACAATATACCTGGAAGCTCGAGGACTAGGGCTGGGTGACATTAAGAAGTTGCCGATACGATACATACCTCGATACACAGGCCACAGTACGATACATACCTCGATACAGTTCGCTTTCGATTCGATTCAATATATTTCAAAATGATTCGATACGGTTCAATAAAAAAAACAAGCAACAAAACTGTAGCTTTGTAAAAAAAATAATTTAGTAAAATACACCAAAAAATACTCTGGGCGATATATCAGTACAGCAGCCCACGATATCGATACCGTAGCATCATATCAAACGATACGATATATCGATGCTTCAATATTTTTGCACACCCCTACCGAGGACCAAGAAAAATTTGTCTAAGGGCTATAGTTTGGACATGCCATGCACACAGTAACTAAGCTGTAGACTATAGACTGTAGACTGTGGGCTGTCACTTTAATTATTATGTTGAGTTATCATTCAATATATGAAAGCTGGAACAGTATATTTTGGCGCTCAGTGTTTATCGTGTTTACATTTTCTTTGCAATAACAGGGATATTTTTTGTTATTTTTGTTATATGATAAGATTTGACCTGTAGAAATGAATGAATTGAATAAGTATCCTCTAAAACTAATTTTCAGTTCCTTCTTCTGTATTTGCTGCAGCTTAAAAATTGTTTTACTGGTATTATTCCGTTTTATTGTTATTGTATCAGTGGCATAAAGTAGTTTCAGTATTATTTTAATTGCAATATTTCTCTGTAGCAAAATATCATACTTCAAAATATGTTACTGTGACAGGCCTAGGTATACTGTAGGCTGTGTCCTCACTCCATACTGTTCTATATAAGGCTTCAGACTGCACCAGCTTCAGACTGGCTGTGTCACTGACTGCAGAGGAGATGGAGCAAAAGATACTATGGGCCAGACACTTCTAAAAGCTGCTCTGACACCTAGTGGTAGTAATACACCCATGCACTGACCAATCGAGTCAGGATTTTTATATAAATACTTGAAAGAATGCGTAGTAATGTAGTGTCCTTGATCTCATACTCTGGTGTATGCATGCGTGCTTACGGGATGTGTGAATGGCTTCTGTTTCTATTCTGTTCTATTAGACTTTCTGCCAGCTTGCCTACTTTGTATCTGACTGCTCCTTAAGCTTTAAAGGTGCATTGTGTAACTTTTCTGGTTGAGGATTTTCTCTGTGGAGATATTATTGCTTTGTTTGTAATGGAATTAAACCTTTCTTTCTTCATGGAGACCAAGCAAGACCGAGTTAGAGATCAGATGAGTGTTTTTCTAAGTATTTTGAGCAATAACACCACCTGTAATTGAATAAATAAAAGGTAAAGCTCTTTAATGTCATACTGTGGAACATTCCAGGCAGAGAAATGACATATCCATAGAAAGAAGCAGGTGACAGATCCCCAACCAAATGTTACATAGTGCACCTTTAAATATGAAATCAGAATTAAAATATCACCAATTCTGACATCTCCTGATATTACCACATTTTCGCCCAACCGAGCCAGAATTCATGTCAAAATAGTGGAGTTCATTTGACAGTCTCAGTGAAAATTCATATTCTCCCTTCCCAGATGAGTCATTTTCGACGGTGTAGTTGCACAGGTGGGTGGCATATGTCATGGCAGAGCGTATGAAAGCTTTTGGTGCCATATGCTGTAGCAGATATCACTGTGCCAGGTAAAAGAAAAATAAATAACACCGGAAGCCTCTCCAAATACCAGAGAAAAAATGAGCCCAGAAAAGAGCAGTGCGTCTTTAGCTACGAAAGGTCATAGACAACACTGGAGGACACATTATAAAGGGAGAGGTGCAGAGTAAGAGTTACATCAGATTACAGCTGGACCGCACAGGTTTCAGAGAGATGAGAGACTGGCACTGTTAACATAGCGATTAGTAATAAAAAAAAAATAAATTGCTTCTTTCGAATGGTCAGAAAGTGGCCGAAATGATGCAGATATACAGGAAACTGGAACCTAAACTGTTTAAAGGTCCTATAGTACACAAAATTACTCTTGTGAGCTTTAAGATATGTTATAATGTTGTTTCTCATCAAAAACATACCTGGAGTTGTGTTTTGTTTCATTCATAACCCTTTAGTATTAGTTTGTGTACATCTCCAAAGCTCAGCATGCTCTGTTCCACCTTGTGATGTCATGATGATGCGATAGTTTTGACAGCTACCTTTTACCTTTAGTTCATTAGCGATTGACAATTCCAGGGTTGAAGTTCTCCAAATGATTCTAGTGAAGGTGTATGGAGTTTAAAAACACAGTGGAGCACTTTCTGTATTACCACAGACGGTTTTCAGTTTCAGAGAAAAACACAGCCTAAATATGTAGGGTTGTGTGTTGAACGTGCGAAAGAAACAAAATACATCTCCAGAAAATAGCAGAATTTAGGCCTTTTCCCAACCCTGACATGCAACAGAATCAAATTTATGACTTGCTTTCAAAGTTGCTCCAAAGATTAAGATTAATAAGTGTAAAAGTATAAATTATTTCTTCATCTTAGCTGCACTGAAACATCAAAAAGAATCTGGAAAACTGATTTTGTCTTGAACATGGCAACAGTTTTGTATATATAATGCTTTGTGTTCCACAGTATGGCATTAAACTTATCTCCATGGAAACAAGCAGTATATATTATGAAAATCAGACATTGATGTGTTATTTTAATTGTCATGATAATTGTGATTAATTGTTGCAGTCATAGTAAGAATGCACAATATTCAAGGTATTTTTTTGTATACCAACACCTGTAATTGGATAATGCCATACTGTGGGACATTCCAGGTAAAGTAGCATTCCATATAGTCAAGTTACATAGTTCAAGGGTTCTCAAAAGTATCAAAAATCAGATATTAATCGATAATAATAATATTGAAACTAGATACTTATTTGTGCAGGAATCGATACTGCAAAAAAATCACTTTAACAGGACAGAATTTGAGATTTCCTGAACAGTTTAGTGTGAGTTGGAGTTTGAGCTTCACAGTCTGTTTAGCTGTGCATATGTTCTTCTTTGTTATTTTAATTTTATAATGATTATTTATATTTTGACTTCATTTGTATTGTGATTTTAATGTCTTTCTTAATCTGTAAAGCACGCTGAATTATGAATTGTGCTATACAAATAAACTTGCCTTGCCTTTATCACAGCTAAATGAAGAAAATACTATAATTTTGTCTATGAAAATTACATTTGATTACTACATTTTTGTCTTCATTGTGGTTTTGTAATTTGTAATAAGCACTGAGTGAATGCCTAAGTATTATAAAAACAAATCAAGTGTGAAACTTTAGTAGCGTGACAACACTAAATAGTTCTATAAGGTTATATAATAGTTTCTTGCTTTCAGCCACAGCCAACGTGTATTCGCTTGCCCCACTCCTACGACTAAAAATACAAGAGTTTAAATAGAGGTCACACACACAGAGCAGATCAAATAAATCTGTGATACTCTTCCTAACACGTTACTGTCTTGCTTCTCGCCCTCCCTTCCTTTGTGCCCTTGACCCTAACACCTCCCCCTTCCTCCTTCCCAAACAAACCCTCACATCTCTCTCTCTCTCTGTTCCAGATTGTCTCCGCAGTGCAGTATTGCCACCAGAGGAGGATAGTACATCGTGACCTGAAGGTGAGGATCTCCAGTGTTTCACGTTTTGATAAATGTGGTATCATATTTCCCCTGGACCAGTTCTCGGATCACGTTACATTCAACTGCAGAGCCTTTTCCCAGCCTAATACATCATAGCTCTGTGAGAATTGACGTAGAAATTGGAGATGGTCTGATAAATATATTTTTTTCTATTTTTTTCAGTACTGATATCCAAAATTTGTCTGGCTGCTGTGGCCAATACCAATATTTACAGATTTTAAGTTCTGATGTTAAAGGCGCAAGTGTGTAACTTTTCTGCTGGAGGTTGCACCACCTTCTTGTCTCCTTGGAGTTGTTACTGTTTTTGTCCGGAATGTCTCAGTACAGCCTTAAATGTATCTCCCTTGCATTTACTCATCAACATGAGTTTTTACTGACCTAAAAACTTACATTCTTACTGTGAGTGGGCTCGTCTCTCCACAGATCTGACATGAAAGTTTGCTGTCAACTTCTGTCTTCTTAGAGATAAATAAGTGTAATCCCCTAATGTAGAACCAGTTTATTTCTCAGTTACTGTATGCATTCTAAGCATCTTATATTTTTTTAAGTTTATAAGTACTTTTCACAAGTTTCTTAGGTCGGAGGTTTGCTGCCACATTAATGGCAGCTACACGCACTTCCTGATTCCCGGATAATAAAACAGTCTTAGTGATATGGATATTTAAAAAAATTACCCATCTCTGGTAGTAATATCACTGTTTTATCCCACAGGCGGAGAATCTGCTCTTAGATGCAGACATGAACATAAAGATTGCAGATTTCGGCTTCAGTAATGAGTTCACGGTGGGCAGTAAACTGGACACGTTCTGTGGCTCTCCTCCGTACGCTGCTCCAGAGCTGTTCCAGGGAAAAAAGTACGATGGGCCCGAGGTGGACGTGTGGAGTCTGGGGGTCATCCTCTACACACTGGTCAGCGGCTCTCTACCCTTCGACGGACAGAACCTCAAGGTGGGGATTCATGTGGGGTTTGTAATGTAATGTCTGAAATGGGTTGGGGTCATAGCCTTTGTTTAAATTTAAGATGGAGTCAAAGTTTAGCTTTTGTTTGTAGTTATGTTGTTTAAGGGCCTGTACCTGATTTTAATATATTGTTGTTAAGGTAAATGCTCTTAACATCATACTGACAGGTCACCTTTTTTTGTCCAATCAGACACATTGTTACTAAGAATCATGGGAAACCAACTGTATGACACTATTGATTCTCTGTCATGGTGCATTTTCACAAATAACAACACCAAAAATAGTATAACCTGGCTCACACCAGATTGATATATTGTATGTATCACTCTTTATCAGTCTGGGATGTCTCTCGCTGAAAGCAATCGGAAAATGCAAAGCGACATGACAACTATTTGAATCTCAGTGGTCAGAGTGACACATCAGGGGAACCGGAAAATCCAAATTTTTCTATAGCCAGTTGAGAGAAAAAAGCATAGGCATCTTCCCTGTTGACACATAGTCTATATTGATAGGCTGAAATACTTCTGTTGGTGTGACCATGTTTGTTTTGGTTCAACAACAACTGCCTGAAACAATCCCAGACAGCTGTTTCTGTGTTGTGCATTTTCAGGGAATAAGTGGGATTGGCAGAATTGATTATTTAATTTATATCAAGCAATTAGCACTAACTGCTACATGGTAATAGATGTATGTCTGCTAATTGAGTATGTCACAATCCTATATTGTTACCAGTGTGTCTATACTAAACACATTGAATTTGTAACTGGCTTTGCAAAACAAAACAACACAACAAAACATTTGGCTGATTATAATGAGCTGAGCTAAATAGCATATATTATATTTATTGTAGATCAGGGTCTCCAGCCTGTAGCCGTGATCTACTAGTTCTTACTAATTATACATACTAGTATTACACTGACTATTTAAAGAAAGAACTAAGTAGGCAGGGCTAAATATTCAAAGTAAAACATGTTTCTCAATCAAGTACAAGCTCTTTAATACAGTATTACCAGGTCTACCAGACTGACACAAAGATAAACATCTTCTGTTAGTGCAAGTTATCCAAAGTGAAATTATGTATTGACAAATGTGTGAGCATGTTTCGATGATACAGACAGAATTTTTGCAACTACTGGTTCACTAGGCACTTTTACACTCTCCAGCTTGCCCAGAAATGCCCTGACTTCTGAAAGAATCTGATATCAGCCAACATGGGACTGGCCTAAACTTGCTAATTGTCTTATCAGACAACACAGATACACTAAAAATCCAATTAAACTGAACAATATCAAGATCTCTTTATTTCTAACACTGCTTTTTTTCCAAACACATTTGGAGCCACATTAAGCATTGGATTAGTGGTTAATCAGATAATCAGTTCATACTGGAGTTGATACCAGAGAATTATGGCCTGATCTTGATTGCGTGTAGTTACTGTTTTGGGTGGCTTAAGTCAAAATCCCTCAATTTGTAACTACAATTGGACACACACATAAAACCTACAGTATATATAGTATGGTATTAAACTTCTGTCTTGCATTTACTAAATTTCTTATCTGTTGGTGTTAAAAAACATGCATTCTTACTGGGATTGAGGTCACTTCTTCACAAACTAACCTGATGGCATGTCCTGCTTGTCTTTTTGGAGCTAGATAAGTTTAATGCCATTCTGTGGAACATTCCAGCCAAGGCAATATCATCACTATGGAGATAACAATATATTTTGGGCTCAGTGATTTTTGTGTGTAGAATTTCTTTGCAATAGTGGGGAGATTTGGAGCATTTTTATGTAATACAATGAGATTTGAGCTGTACTTGCAAGTTTTGAATTTTATTAGGTTTTCAATTTCTATTTATTTGATACAGCTCATTGCTTTTAATGATGTTATGTAATTAAAAATAGGTTTACTGGCATTGTTTTGCTTTGTGTCAGTGGCTTAAAGTAGTTTCACTATAATCATTTAGCGCAATATTTCTCTGTAGCAATACATCATGCTTCAAAATTAGTTATCGTGACAGGCCTACTGTGCTCTTTAAAGATGCACCTTGTAATTTTGCTGGTGGAGGGCCCGTGAAATGCTCATCTCCATGCAGATGTTATTTCTTTGCCTCGAGTGATGACATATCCATAGAAACAAACAGGTAACAGACCTTCCATGAGAAAAGTTACACAGTACACCTTTAAAGTAGCTTCAGTATTACCGTTTACCCCTCGATTTCTCTGTAGCAATGTATCACGCTTCAAAATGTGTTATCGTGACATGCCTATGTGCTCCCTAAATCGTAAAAATTCTAGTTAGAAGCACACTTTTTTACGCATAGTGTCCTAAAAACACACTTTTCACTGCTTTGGCTGCCCACAGGGATGACCTCGAAGAGAGCCACTTGAAATGAATAAATTAAGTGTGGAATTTCCTGCTTTTGTCACTGGGACTGACCCACTTGCCCTGATTCATGAGTTTCAATATAAGCCTGGAATGCAGGGGGTCAGATCAGGGCTCACTGCTATATTTCATTGCCTGTTTGATTGTTTTTGTGTGCAGGAGCTGAGGGAGAGGGTGCTGAGGGGCAAATATCGCATCCCCTTCTATATGTCTACAGACTGTGAAAACCTGCTCAAGAAGCTGCTAGTACTCAACCCGGTCAAACGAGGCAGCCTAGAGGTATAGCATGTTAAAGGGCACATATTTTTATTTATTTATTTGTATTTTTGTATTTATTTATGTTTGTATGTGTGTTAGTCTTATATTTGTTATGTTTATTTTGTTATTAATATCCTGGGTATATATACCCTTAAAATGACTGTATGTTATTTTCTGATCTATTATATGTTGTAATGTAGTTTCCTCATCAAAAACATACCTGAAGTTGTGTTTAGGCCCAGTTCTTCTCTTTGTTCCACCTTGTGATGTCATGTGTTAATACAGGACGTGCTCCACTATACACCATACACCTTCACTAGAATCATTTGAACTTCCTAATCACTACTGAATTAAAGGTAAAAGGTAGCTGTTAAGTTGAAAACTACCACTACATGACATCACAAGGTGGAAGAGAGCATTTTGAGCTTGAGAGATGTAGACAGACTAGAATGACCAGATTTTCAAAATAAAAAACTGGGACATCCCTGGTTTGGTTGGTAATAAGACAATTGTGAAATGGGTGCGTAATTAAGGAAAATTGTTATGCATTTAGCACTGATGAGAGAGACACCTGGGACATTTCTTGTATAAAACTGGGACAAATCACCAGTTTTGGATAAATCTGCTGGGACAGGGGACACAGGGCTCAAAACTGGGACTGTCCCGGGTAAATAGGGACATCTGGTCACCCTGAGACAGACAAAAAATATATATATATATAATAAACCTGGATTACTCAAACAAGTGTGAATGAAACAAAACACAACTCCAGGTATGTTTTTGATGAGACAATGGCATTATAACATGGTTTAAAACACAAAAGAGTCGATTTAGCTTATATGAGGCCTTTAATGATTTAGACTTGGCACTGCATAATTTACAAAAAGACTGAAATGGCTTCTAGCAAACAAGATGTTCATTAGCATAAGCATACAGAAATATGAATTGCTGTCAATGCTAGGGTATTAACATCATGGCATAATGGGCTATTTAATTTATATCGAGCAATTAGCACTAAATGCCACATGGTAATAGACGTATGCTAGTTAATTGAGTATGTTTATCACAGGCCTATAATGTAACCAATGTGTCTGTATTAAACACATTGAATTAGTAATTGGCTTTACAAAACAATATTAACATTTGGTTGATTATAATAAGCTGGGCTAAATAAATAGCATATATTATATTTATTGTAGATGAGGGTCTCCAGCCTGGAGCCGTGAGCCACCAGTAGCTCTTTTCCTCCTTCCAAGAAGCTCACCGAGGGATTTAGGAATTATACATATTACACTGAATAATTCAAATCTGATTCGTCACATGCCTGTCAGTATTACCTTGCGCTTTAAATGCCCAGCAATGTGCAGCAGCAAATGGATACGTTTTATAGGCATAGCCTCATTATATTGACAACATTTCTTGTGGTCTACAGGAAATGTTTGGTAAAAGTAGCTCTCTGTGGGGCAAAAAGTTAGAGACCGCTGTTGTGGATTTCCATGAGTGTTAGCTTGTAGCTTGTAGCCTCTGTTAACTCTATGCTAACTACTAACCTAACTAGTTGTCAGTGCTCTCTAACAAGACACTAGCAAACTGTAATAGCGGTGCTGTTTAATTAGAAAATTAATAAATAAATAAAACCGTTTGGTTAGTTGAACTATTTGTAGTATGTGAGTCAGTATAGTCTAGGGGTGACAAACTCAAAATTTAAAACTGGGACTAAGTCGTGGGCCAAACTAAATATTTCTTGAAAAAAATTCAACAACATCTGCATGTTTTCTCTTCTTTCAAGATATGTAATGTTAAATCTTTTCTTATTAAAATAAATGTTTAATAATAGTTTTGCTTAAACATTGAATCCAGAACAAGCAAAATATAAAATAATAACAACATTTTAAATAAATAATGTCTCTATAGTCTATCTGTGGCCAGCGGGCCATCTGATATGATCTTGCGGGCAAAATATAATTATATCACTGGCCAAATTTGGCCCCTGGGCCTGAGTCTGGCATGTATGGTATAGTCACATTTTCTTTGTGTTTTGGTCATTTTTAAGCAGCTTTTCTGTATTTTATCTAAACAAGTGACAATGTACGCTTCTCTTTACTGTTGGCAGGTATAAAATTGGTCAAAAATAATGACACTTGGGACATTTCTTGTATGTATTTCTTGTCCTGAGACAAATCACTGGTTTTGGATAAATCTGCTGGGACAGGGGACACAGGGCTCAAAACCGGGACTGTCCTGGGTAAATAGGGACGTCTGCTCACCCTATTCTATATATTTCTTTAAGTTTTAGCTTGTAGCCTGTAGCTTCTGTCATGCTAATTGCTGTTCTGAATTGCTAACATAACAGGTTGTTAATGTTCTGTGATGTTGATTTGTGCTGAAGTTTATTCAGTAGACACAACTGAATTGAATTTCTCAGCAGTTTTTATCTGTATATTTTTGATTGCTCAAACTACGAACATGTTAAAAATTCACCCCTCAGCCTTTTCAGCAGGTCACAGCAGCAGGTTACTTTTCAGTCCTGTTCAAAAATGTACTGGTGTAGAAAATACAGATACCTGCTCTCCAACTCTAAAATCTACTTAAGTAAAGTACAGACACCTCTTTTTTTTTTTACTCAGGTACAGTACATTCCTACTTTTACTTCATTATATTCCATCACTGGAAATATGAAAGCTTTGTAGACACATTTTAGCAGAGTAAATGAACGCCCATTTCTTTGCTGTGCTTATAATACTCTGTCATTAAATAGCTTTATGCCACGTCAATATTTCCCTGCATTTACAAGAGCTCAATACTAAAGATTTCTCCACCTAAGATAAAAATTGATCTTGCTTTTTGTTGTTCCTGATGATTAAGCCCTCTCATTTATGCACTGGCGTGATCTCAGGAGGGCATTCTAGGTCCTGGTTTAATTACACGTGATTAGATATACAGTGTGTATGTGTGTGTGTTTGTGTGTGTGTGTGTTTCTACAGGCAGCTAACATTAATGATAGCTAATTATGTGTGCGTTTGTGTTGTGTTTTCCCATCAGCAAATTATGAAAGACCATTGGATGAATGTGGGTCATGAAGAGGAGGAGCTAAAGCCTTACATCGAGCCGGAGGCGGACTTCGGCGATACGTCCAGGATAGGTGTGTACTGCTGCTGCTGGGGGTGTTCTACATGTGTCTCTATTGTCAGGATGTTAGTTACCATGGTGACACAATGCACATATTTGCAAACACGAGCTAAAGATAGTCTTAAAATTCAAGAAAAGAAAAAAAAAAATTAGTTAAGCAACACATTTTCAGGAGTCTGTGATCAATATGAGTGCTCATGGTCATGTTTAGGTGTTTTTCAACAAAAGGTGAAAGCAAAAAGGAACAGGACTCGCTGCAAGGAGTAATATTAAAATTATTGGATATTTTCAACCTGCAAAACCAAATTTATTATGAAATGTAGTTGCTATAGAAACACGGGTGTGCAATTAATGGCATTTAAATAGGGATTCAGTCACTTTTGATCTTTTTAATAGAGAGGTTTACAGCCAGTCCTCTCTCAGTAAAAGCATGTGGTTTGGAGTTCAGATTTTGAAAGACAAAATTTAATGGAGTCATATTGCACTAATTTCTGATCTATGTTATAATGTTGTTTTCTCATCACAAACGCACACGTTTAACACACAAACCCTGCATATTTAGGCTGAGTTCTTCTCTCAAACAGTAAACTCTGTTCCTCCTTGTGATGCCATATGTTAATACAGGAACTGCTCCACTGTGTTTTTAAACAGCTTCAGGAGAATCATTTGGATAATTTTAGCCCTGGAATTGCTGATCTGTACTAAACAAACGATAAAAAGTAGCTGCTAACTTGAAAACTACTGCTTCATGACATCACAAGGTGGAACAGAGAATTTTGGACTGTGGAGATGCAGACAGACTAATAATAAAGAGTTACTCAAACATGTGTGAATGAATCAAAACACAACTCTCGTTATGTTTTTGAAGAGGTAACAGCATTTTGACAATTTTGTACAATATAGGACCTTTAATAGAGAAATTGAACATTGAACTTCCTTACAAAAATAAAATGACAAAAGATTAAAAAAAAATATATATGTTTTAATTTATTTTTTATACATTATACACATAATTTATAAATGTTGAGTCTCAGCATTCTGGGAGGTTGGTGAACATTGTGCTGGCCTTGGTTGAACTACGCAATTATTAAAATGAGAAGTGTGGTACACCAGACCTCTGTAAGAGCGTCTCATTATTTTAATGACCAAGTGAGCTAAGTGCCTCTATAAATAACAGCTAACACTGAGCTAATATTCTCAGTCCATGCTCTTACATTCAGTGTACAGTGCTACCATAATGTTTGAATTATAATGTTTGAATTAAAGGTGCATGGTTATGTAAGTTTATGCTTCCACCACTTGCTTGTCATCTCCATGGAGATACCTTGCTTTGCCTTGAATGTTCCACAATATGGCATTATATTCACCTCTCTTCCATTTTTTTCAGTTACAGGTCTATCTATTGTTAAAATTACCTTGAAAAACATGTGTTACTGTTAGCTCTCCATAGATCTGACCTATAACTTGGTCTGGTTGCATCACATGTTTTTTTTTTTTACAAGACAAATTACACAGAGGATCTGTGAATATTTAAGGCTGGATCAGGCTATATAAATAGACAAAATACAAAGTTATTGTAAAAATGTTCCTTAAACTGTTTCTGTATGGGCCTCAAATTCTTCGAAATATAATTTGTCTGTTAAAGGGCCCATATTACACTATTTTCTGATTTTTATAATATTGTTTCCTCATCATGAACATACCTGGAGTTGTGTTTTGTTTCATTCACACATGTTTAACACAAAACCCTTGCATAGTTATTCTCTCATACAGAAACACCACCTCATGATGTCATGTGGTAATACAGGAAGTTCTCCACTCTGTTTTTAATAATAATAATTTAAAAAAATGTAATAATTTTAGCCCTGGAATTGCTAATCTCAATTGAACAAAAAGCAAAATGGAGCTGTTAACTTGAAAACTACCACTACATGACATCACAAGATGAAACAGAGCATTTTGAACTTTAGAGGTGTAGACAGACTAATAACAAAAGATTACTCAAACATATGTGAATGAAACAAAACACAACTAAATGTTTTTGAGGAAGTAACAACACTGTACCATGGCTTAAAGCTCACAAGATTCAATTTAGTGTAATATAGGGCACTTCCTATAACTTGAACTTCTTTGGTCATCAGCATCACTTCATAGTGATCTCATTGATACTTTGCAGCTCATGTCATCAACATTCCCTGGAGATGTGATGCTAATTGAAGGCACTGCTCTGTCAGAAGCTCTACTAGGCTTTAATCTTTATTCTAACACAACCTGACCTGAGAAAGACCTGATTTATTTGGACCTACAACAAGTGAGTTGATTTGTGCTGTTAACAAGTCTCTCACACATGAAATTGCACTCACAAGCTGGCTAGTTAGTCACTGTCACCTTTTTATTGAAAATCAAACACCTAAACTGGACATAAACGCTCATGTACATTGTGGCACTGCTGAACATTCCAAGTTGCGTGTAGATTGCTATGGTAACTGCAGAAAGCATCAGTTGTGTGTTATTGACTCTGTTTGCTCTGTCTGACCCCAGAGCTGATGGTGACAATGGGCTTCCCTAAAGATGAGATCACGGACTCGCTCCAGAACCAGAAATACGATGACGTCATGGCAACGTACCTGCTGCTGGGAAGGAAAGCTCCAGAGGTCAGTCAGTCTGCTCCTCTCATCATGTTGTCAACATAATACAAACCCATACAAAGAATGAGAGAGTTTTTAGCTTGGGTTCATGTGACATCATTCGAAACTGTCCATTCTTTTGTAGAATTAAAGGACACATATTACGCTATATTCTGATGTATGTTTTTGTTTAATTCATTCATGTTTAACACACAAATCCTCCATATTTAGTCTGATTTTTTTTTTTCTCTCAAACTGAAAGCTCACTGTTCCACCTTGTGGTGTCATGTGATACTACAAGTGCCCCATTGTGTTTTTAAACTCCATGCACCTTCACTAGAATCATTATTTCAGACCTGTAATTGTCAATCTCTAATTAACAAAAGTTAACTAGCAACTTGAAAACTACTGCTTCGTGACATCACAAGGTGGAACAGTGTTTTGATATTTGGAGATGTAGACAGAATAAAAATAACGAGCTTCTCAAACATGTTTGAATGAAACAAAACACAACTCTAGGTGGGTTTTTGAGGAGGTAACAGTATTATAACATGGCTTAAAGCTCACAAGAGTACATTTTGAGTAATATAGGACCTTGTAGCCCTCCTGCTGTGCTACATGCCAGAGGCGTAATGGGCAGTGTTTAAGTCAGTTAACTTGTGATGTATGAAAAGTAGTAATTAAGTCTACAGTCACTCTTTCCCTGTCACGTGACAAAATTACCCATCTACCACCAATAATTAATCACGCCAAAGTAAATAAATGTCAAACTCCAAATATAAAGATATTAGCTGCTCCACAACTTTCCCAACTTACTGTTGGGCTTTTGTGATTTTTTTTAGTATATTTACTTTTAGGACATACAATGCCAGTCAAAAGTTTGGACTCAATTTTCATTTTTGTTTCTTCTTTATTTCCATGATTATTTAGATTGTTGATTCTCACTGAAGGCATCAAAATTATGAATGGACACATACTGAATGTAGTAAATAAAAGATAAACTCAAAATAACTCAAACTCATTTTGCTTTAGATAAAAACCCAGGTTTGAGCCCTGAACAACACTGTTCTCTGCACTGCACAAATGCACAGGAACAATGATGTCATTCTTAGTTTGCTGTCCAATGGAGCAATCATGTCTATCACTGAGGCAAACAATTTTAGAATACAACATTTTACATTGGGGCGCCAGTGGAAATATTGTCGTAGTATGAGCATGAGTGATGGTAGTGGTTGGAGAGACAGATGGCGTAAATTGGCTTGCTTTTTTCAGTCTGTCCCAGGGCAGCTGTGGCTCCAAAAGTATTTTACCACCACTGAGTGTGGAGTGAATGAACAATGCATCGTAAAGAGCTTTGACTGTCTTGAAAGGTGCTGTATGGTGCAATAATTCATTAATTAGTTTTTAATGTTAGGCTTCTTGTTATTGCAAAGTGAAATTCCTCAGTAGGATTCATAGCAAAGGAGAAATTCAGTTCTGTCAAATATGTTTCACAGCTCATCCAAGCTGCTTCTTTAGTTCTGAAACTTTGGTCCAGCTGACAGAATTGAAATTCTCCTTTGCTATAAAAAAAAAGCTCCAATTCTTTGAAAACATTCTATCCACCAGTCGCCATGATAGAGTTAGTGGATACTGTTAATGCTAGTATGTGGCCTACAGCACAGTGCTCGTACTGCTTTGTTCTGCAATGCTTGAAGTTGAAAAGTCTGAAAAGCCTTCAAGTATATTCAGTAAAACAGATCTCTCCATGACTCTTCTGTATATCTCTCCTTCAGTTTGAGGGCAGTGAGCCTCTGACCAACAGCGTCCTGAGACAAAGACCGACGAGTGACATCAACAACAGCTCCAGCATCTCTCCCGCCCACCCCAAAGTCACACGCAGCATCTCAGCCAATCAGAAGCAGCGACGCTACAGTGATCATGGTGGGGATGAGGAGGGAGGAGGAGGAGGAGGAGGGGGTGGTGTCGTAGAGAAGCCAAGTAAAGTAACCCGGCGTCCCCCAGCTCTGAGCGTGCTGCTGCCTGCGTCTCCTACAGGGGGAAGCTGCACTAGACCCTATTAGAGAAAGAACTATATTTATACTACAGGAACTTTTTTTTCTGAGTTGGAATTCCAAACATTTTAAAGTACAGTGCAAAAGTCTTGATGAGGATTTCAACTATTAAAGGTGCATTAGTGTGCTAAAATGCAACATTACAAACAAACATTTCAGGGTATCACAATTTACTGAGTGTACAATTGTATAATGTTACACAAATTAATTGGAAAAACTGTTTTAGTAGTTGAATTGTAATTTAAAAGCGGCAGTTCCTAATTAAAGAAAATATCTCAAAATCAATAAACCTGTATATGAATTACAGTTAGGTCACTTAACTATATTAAAGCCACAGTAAGTAACTTTTTAGCCAAAAAATAGACTAAAATCAAAGCATGTTTTTTTATTATTGTTTTTGCACCTGAAAAACATCAAAAAACATGCGTCCTTACCTTGAGTGGGCTTGCATCTCCACAAACCTGATTCTTTATTTAGCTTGAAGGAAGAGCTCCTGCTTGTTTACATGGAAATGTTGCTCCTTTGGCTATAATATTCCACAGTACAATGTAAAGCTCCGAAGTATGGTTTTCACTTTCTATTTTCATGGAATCATGCAGGTGACGTGCCTCCTCCAGAAAGCCACATACTGTGTCTTTAAGTATGCAAATGTAAAAAAGATATATCTATTTCCATAAAAAAGGCCAAGTTAAGAATAACACTAGTTAATGTTCTCATTGATTCTCTCTGTAAAACTGATGTTAATTTCTACTTCTATAAAAACACACCATTAAACATTTTAATAACACAAATTCAAATAAACCATTGAAGCAATGTTCACACCTCACTTGAATCTTTTGCACTGTCCTCTACAATAAATATCTGCTCACATTGGCTCCTTGTTGAAAAGGAGATAATACAGTGTTTATTGTTGGATGGAATAGCAGCTTCCTCCTAGTTCATGTGGGGCCATTGTGTGTGGCGCCATCTGCTGGCTGCTGTCCTGCAGCACCTCAAAGCATGAGGAGGGAACAGCTTTACTTCAGACCTGGGCCCTGTACCACAAAGCTTATGAAAACATCTTTCATATATCCTTCTTTCTCTCATTTAGACAAATAATAAAATAAGTCATATGATTTTATTGCTGCAGAGAAAAGGGAGGGTTTAATTTTTTTCTGTTTTTTTCTAGCTATCATAAACCAACAATATTTCAGTTAGTTATTCTCACTTTATATTGATCACACACTCCTGAAAATTAGTTGTTTAAATCCATTTTGTGTGTTTGTTTTTTTTACTTTATCTATATCTCTTTTTTGACAGTGTTAATATGTGCATTGTACCTCCATGATAAATGCTGATCATTCCACCATAGACATCCATGTAGAAGACCACCAGCTTGATGTTACTGCAAAATATCTGTAGTGGTTTATTTATTTAATTAGAATGTAGCTTTGCAGTACAGGGTCCTGCATACTTGGCCTGTATTTTGAAGTGTGGTGACGTAGAGTGATACATATATTTTGTTATTGCTTGCTGTTTGCCTTTTTATTCAGTTGTGTTCTTCTCCAATATACTATACATACATCCCTAGTGTTAATACTGCCGTATCATAACTTCTTTATGCTTGTTTACGTTGCAGTGGGTCCATCGGTGCCCCCTGCTGTCTCGTACACCAAACGGGGCCAGGCTCTTAGCGTGGAGAGTGACCACAGAGAGGAGTGGGACGGAGCGCGCAGACTGGAGCTCAGCACGTCCAAAGGAGATGTGCCTGCCTCGCCACTAGGAGTGCAAGAGAGGAAGAAGACCACAAGTGCTGTAGGGGTAACCACTGCTATGTTGTACAGAGTCTATGGTGAAGTCGAAACTAGTGTAGAGCTAAAAGTGACGTGGGGTGACGAGTCTTTTGATATCTCCTCAAACAGTTTTCATCAAAAACGCTTCAAACTTAGCACAAAGGCTCAAAACCCATGTCTGTTTAAAGGTGCATTGTGTAACTTTTCTGGTGGAGGGTCTGTCACTTGCTTGTTTCGATGGATATAGCATTCTAGAATAGCTGTCTAGAATGTTCCACAGTATGACATTAAACAGCTCTGCCTTACATTTATTCAATTATAGGAGGTTTTATAGCTCACAATACTCAGAAAAATGTGGGATTGCCTTTCCACAGATCTAGCCTGTAACCTGGTCTGGTTTGGTCTCCAGGAAGATAGAAAGGTTTAATGCCATACTGTGAAACATTCTAGAAGCAATAACATCTGCATAGAGAGAAAAGCATTTAACGGATCCTCTACAAGAAAAGTTACACGATTCACCTTTAAAGATTATCTATTCAATTTAAGATACAAGGTCAGGCATGGTCAGGGTGAGTTTTCAACAAAATGGCAAAATTCAGAAAATAAAAAATCTTTCTCAAATTTTACTGGATCTGAGCAGACCCAATGAAACGTAAAATCGAGGCAGGAGCTTTGAAGGTCCTATATTACTCAAAATTGACTCTTGAGAGCTTTAAACCATGTTATAATGCTATTACCTCTTCATAGATGTTTGGTAACCCTTCATTATTAGTCTGTCTCCTTCTCCCAACCTCATAATACTCTCTTCCACCTTGTCATGTTATGAAACAGTAATTTTAAAGTTAAAAGCTACCTTTTACCTTTAGTTCAGTGGAGATGGGCAATTTCAGGGCTGAAATAATCCATCTGATTCTAGAGAAGGTGTATGAAGTTTAAAAACACAGTGGAGCACTTCCTGTATTACCATATGACATCACAAGGTGGAACAGAGTGTTTTCTTTGAGAAGATCTCGGGCTAAATATGGTGTGTGTTAATGTGTGAATGAAACAACACACAACTCGAGGTATAACTGTGACGAGGAAACAACATAATAACATAGAGCAGATAATACAGGTGTAATATAGGATTTGATTCACTATTGCTTACCCATTTACTCAACAAATAATAATTTGTCCTTTTTGTCCTTTCTTACCTAGACCAACGGATCCATGACTCGTAGAAATACTTATGTTTGTGAGCGTTCCTCAGATAGATACTCAGCTATTCCCAATGGCAAAGACAGCAGGTAAGAACATTTCAAAACATTACATCTTCTGGGGTTCAGGGACAAGTACACCAGGAGACTATAGCTTAACTGTTGTTGCTGACCTATCCAAACCTACTGTGCAAATACTGTATACTGTTGAAAGTTTCTTTGTTTCTGTTGTAGATAATTGTAAATAATAATAACTGTAAAAGCCAAAGTCCATAATGTAGTACAAGACTAAAGCATAGTTAAACTGTTAAAGGACCTGTTTGTAGCCTATGCTGCACTACCACAGATTGAAAACCACTGCACTAAACACATTACATGAGACACAGTGGTGGAAGAAGTACTCAAGTGGTACTTTTACTGTTTCTTAAGTAAAAGTATTAAAGTACCTATTTAAAAATGTACTTAAAGAGTAAAAATTGATACAGATTTTGTGATCAAATAAAGTTTCAAATATGCTGATTCTGATAAAGATATGTGCTCATGTTTGTTCAATAGAAACAACTGAATCAATGTATTTTCCTAGCAGTTTTTATTTGTATATTTATGATGCTCAAACTATGAATGTATTAAAAATAAACCTTTCAACAGGTCTCAAACAATAATCAAAAAGTACGTTTACTTTTCAGTCCAGTTAAAAATGTCATAAAGTAGAAAGTACAGATACTGAATGTAGTAAAGTAAAAAAGATACAGATACCTAAAATTTATACTTGAGCACAGTACCTACTAAAATTTATACTTAATATTTATACCGCTTTACTACTTCTACTTCATTATGTTCCACCACTAATGACACAATTCTATGTCCGTGTGCAGTTTGACTGAAGTCTCTGGCAGTACCCCCTCTACAGCCTTGAGCTCCACGCGGCCTCGTCACACCAAGTCCATGTCCTCATCGGGGCACCCCTCCAAGAGCACACTGCCCCCTATTGACGACAACTCAGAGCTCAAAGCCAGGTCAGACTCAACAGAACTCCATATGACCGGGAAAAGATGAGTGTATTTTTTTCCCATAGATATTTATTGATTTTTAAAAGTTTTAAGACATGACATAATGACAAAAACAAAACATGCACATGACAAGGAACATAAGTAAATACATCCACATGCGTTTGTCTACACATACTTTATATACTATGAGCTCTAGTGTTGTCAGTAAATTGATACCTACATGACAATCAATACCAAAACTAGTATCAGCCAGAAAACAGACTATAGAAATAGAATGGATAAATAGAAAAAGAGGAGAGAGAGGGGGCAGCCAGGCTTCTCGAGATACTTGTCACTGGTGTTGATAAGGACTCTGCTCTCTTCTGTATAATGTCAACATGCCTCTCTATGTGGAATGTTCCTAAGTATGGTTTTAAAGGGCTTATATTACTATTTTCTGATGTTATAATGTTGTTTTCTCATCAAAAAAAACATACCTGGAGTTGTGTTTTGTTTCATTCATACGTTTAAAACACAAATCCACCATATTTAGGCTGAGTTCCTCTCTCAAACAGAAAACACTCTGCTCTATCTTTTGATGTCATGTGGTTATAGAGGAAGTGCTCCACTGTATTTTTAAGCTCTATACATCTTTATTAGAATCACTTGGATAATTTCAGCTTTGTAATTGCCCATCTCTATTGAACAAAAGCTTAAAGGTAGCTGCTAACTTGAAAACTATCACTACACAACTACCACTACATGGTGGAATGGGGCATTTTGAGCTTTCCAGATGTAGACAGACTAATAAAAGATTACTCAAACGTGAATGAAACAAAACACAACTCCAGGTATGTTTTCGAGGAGGAAACAGCATTCTAACATTTCACAAGTCAATTCTGAATACCATAATATAAGACTTTTAAATCTTCCTGTTCTTTTTGCTTGTGTCTCCTTAGTTCGTCCCCCCGTGGCCCCTCCACCTCCCCCTCCGCCCACAGCATCAGTACCCCAGAGAAGAATCGATTCCCTAGGGGCACCACCAGCCGCAGCACCTTCCACGGCGCCCAGCTCAGAGACAGACGCAGCGCCACCTACAACGGGCCGCCCGCCTCGCCTACCCTGTCCCACGACACGGGGGCTCTGGCACAGCAGCGCAGGGGCACGTCCACGGGCATCATCAGCAAGATCACCTCCAAGTTTGTGCGCAGGTACGGGGTCAGTGTTGGGACAACAGTAACACAGGGAGCAGAACATGGGAACGGTTGGCTATAATTAGGGCAATTTGGAAAACATAGGAGGCATGCACTGATCCAGCTTTTTCAGGTCTGATACCGATTTCGATATTATGGCTTTATGTATCTGCCGATATCCGATATTAACTACCAGTGCAGAGACTAAACACAGCATTTATGTCCTTAAAACAAAAAATAAGACAAAACTGAAGTGTGATGCAGCTGTTTTTATCTCTCAATTATAGAACAACCTTGTATTAAAAAATTCAAACACTATGAGACTTTCTGGCCAACTACGGCCAGTAAATAATATCAGTTTATATACTCAAACAGGATATCGGCAGAACCAATATTTGGAAGCCAGCTAATTTTTTCCGTATTGGCGCCAATATCTGATATCAGGGTTGGATTGGTGCATCCCTAAAATATATGTAATTGTGATTTTTCTGACAAGCTTTGCAGTTACATTTGTGATTTATGTTTTGATTAAAGGATTTTGTTTGAAGTTCACTTTTTAAACACATGCAGGAGAATAAGGCGATAAGGCGTATGAACTGACAAACTAATACAAGAATCAGAACATGTTTGAACAAATCTAAACTACAGCTTTTATGCAGAATAAGACATGTTATACTGCTGTTATCTCATTAAAGACATACTTGGAGTTGTCTTTTCTTTCATTTACACACGAGTAATCTTGTATTATTAGTCTCTCTACATCTCCAAAGCTCAAAATGCTCTGTTCCACCGTGTGATGTCATGAAGTGGTAGTTTTCAAGTTAACAGCTACCTTTTAGCTTTTCTTAAGTACAGATTTGAAACTGGAAATTCATGTGCTGAAATTAACCAAATAATTCTAGTGAAGGTGTATGAAGTTTAAAAACACAGTGAGGCACTTCCTGTTTTACCACATGAATTCACAAGGTGGAATAGAATAGATTTTTTTTCTGTTTGAGAGAAGAACTAGCCTAAATAAGCAGGTTTTTGTGTGTTAAACGTGTGAATGAAACAAAACACAACTCCAGGTATGTTTGTGATGAGGAAACATAGGTCAGAAAATAGTAAAATATAGGCCCTTTAGTTGTTTTTGCGCTAGTTACAAATTCATTCATTTTTCATTCAGTTATATTTTTCCATTTAATTTGAACTTACTATTTGAATTCCAAAAATATTTCCACATATTTTTTGCTCCACCATGCTTCTTGCTGTTTATAATCCTCTATTTCCACGTTGCTTTTAGCCTGCTACTACATTACATCTAGCGTCCCTTGCTGCCAGTGTAACAGCAGAGCCCCCTTAGATACTGTAGCCGCTCACTGCTCACCGCTGTCTCTCCTCTCTCTCCCGCTCAGAGCTATGTCTTTCAGGTCGGCGCGGAGGTGAGAGCACACTACGCTTGCTGCACCACAACCTCCTCACCTTTGACCTTTGACCTCTTTAACCTCCTGTACACTACATCCTTGCCTAAACTCACACCTTTGTGTTGCAGTGTTTCTTTTTTTTGTCTCTTCACTTAAACTTTTTGCTAGCATTCCCTCTCCTTACTCTCCCCGTAACGATTAGATAAGGATCTCGGAGACTAGGGTTGCCAAAAATATCGAAAATCACATATTAATCGATACTAAAATGATATAAATTTGAGCAAGTATCAATACTAAAGACGTTTACAGGACAGAAATGAAGCTTTCCTGAATAGCTTTGGATGATCTTGAGCTGTATCAGAATAAGAACACATAGAGTATGACTGTGCATATGACCATGCACCACTATGGAACATACCTGGACCACTGAGGGATTACACAGATATAAGACCACATGGGAATAAAAAAGAAATTTCTACAATTTAATGTTGAAAATCACATTCTATTATCTAAAGATAGTATTTTTAATTCTCATTGTGGTATCAGAATCTGTATTAAATATTGAGTGTATTCCTTAGTATACATTCATCACAAATTTTGGACTTCCGGTCATTGCGCAGTGCATACTGGGAAGGATCCTCCGAAAAATTGAGCATTCCAGTGGGATGCTTCTATTTTCAAAGCCGACCTTTTAAGTCTTTTGAACCATATCGCTTTTGTTTCAGGTTCTGATAGTGTCATATTTTAGTTATGGGATTCGGACATCGTAATTGTGAAGTTGTTGGATGTCCTAACAGTGGAAAATGGCTCGAGAAATGGGCTTCAGAAGTTTGCCAACTCCATAACTGCAAAAAGGAATCAGATCTGTGTGACTGCAAATCTCCCTTCCCAACGGAATTGAAAAATAGTGAAAGGCGAAGGCAATGGGTGATGGGATGAGTATTGATACACAGGAAGGAAGAAAAAGAAAACCTTTGACTGCTTAAGAAATCATCCCGAGTTTCCAGCGAACTTTTTGTATGTGGAGCGCCATCAGAGCTAAATCCCAGTCCCTTGCTCAACCTTGGTTACAAATTTAAAAAATCAACACCAAAGCAAAAGGCACCAGCTATTCACCAAGGAACACCTTCCAATGCAAAGCGATCAAGACATGATGTTGCTGTAAAGTCAGTCCAACAAGAAAGTGCTCAGCCTGTTTGTCTTCTGCACCTCTCGCTTAACAAACGGGATTTGGCTTTGATGGCGCTTCACATACAAAATGTTCATTGCAAACTCAGGATGATTTCTTAGGCAGCCAAAGGTTACCTTTTTCTTCCTTCTTGTGTTTCAGTACTGCCCATTGCCTTCGCCTTTCACTATTTTTCAATTCCACTGGGAAGGGAAACACGAAGGTTTGCAGGCCCACAGATCTGATTCCCTTTTGCAGTTATGGAGTTTGCAAACTTCCATAGCCCCTTTTCCACTGTTAGGACATCCAACAACACAATTACGATGTCCAAATCCCAAAACTAAAATATGACATTATCAGAACCAGAAACAAAAGCGATATGGTTCAAAAGACTAGAAAAGATTGGCTTTGACAATAGACGTATCCCACTGGGAAATCAAACATGGCGGTTTGATGCTAATTTTTTTGGAAAATCCTTCCCAGTATGCATTGCGTGATGACCGGAAGTCCGAAATTCGTGGTGCATGTATTGAAATTGAGTTTAAATTTTTAGTATCATGACAACAGTAGTGGAGATTAAGGAAAGGCAACACTTTAAAAGCAAGGATGCAGGCCAAAAAAAGGTCACCCGGTGTGTGTTGGTCCCAGACGTGTGGGTTCTTTCCTGGCATGAAGCCCCCACAGCTCCCCTCTTTTTTGTCCAGTGATGGTGGTGGGGTGGAGGGTGGGTGAGGGTGGATGAGTGGGCGGAGCTTATATTACAGCTCGAGTTAACATTGTATTTCTGTTCATTTCAGGGTGCCTAGTGAAGGAGAGGCCAGTGCCAGGACAGACACCCCAAGGTGAGGTATCGAACATAGCTACCACTTGACCAAGTTTGCCTGATTACCCAGTCCCTTTTGTTCGAATCCAGAAAGGACTGAAATTGGACCACAGAGCTTGAAAAATCTCTGTCCAAACTTGACATCTCCTCTTGACAATTCTCGTTACATTTAGAACAAAATATATTACTTCTTTTACTTGGGATAAGTAACAGTATGGTGGCTGAAATCTGGAAAACAGGATATGACTCCAGATATGACTCCAGATCCATCTGTGTAAAATTTTGTCAAAGTGTGTGGGTCTGGCTGGTCAGGTAAGGACCAAGTAGGGCTAAAGTCGACTAAAGAACTTCTTGCTCTCAAAACTATTACGCATCTCTATGTATGTGAACCAAAATGTATTTCCAAGACTTAGACTAAACTTTATTTTATCTACAAGGGAAATAATTTGGACACAGTAGCTCATACATCACAATATAATATAATAACAAAGAGCAAAAATATAATTGTTAATAATAAATTCAAAATAAAAAATAAGAAGAGACTGGTGACAAATAAGGCATAATTATACAAATACAAATTTATGCAGAAAAAAAGTACTAGGAAACAATGTATGTAGCTATATATAGCTATGATACCAGATAAGATACACATTATATATGTGATTACTACATTGATTACTGCAGTCACAATATTTCTGGAATAATTTAATATTTTATTTTTATAGTATGCAGTTTTTTTAGAGTGTAAGTCTTGTTTTATTGGTCAAACTGTGTCTGAAATGCAAAGCCTAAACCAGGCTCAAAAATACTACTGAGAAGATAATGATTAAAATCTGACTTTTTGAACATTTCAAGGTGCTCTATATAACTTTTATGGTGATGGTGGTGGGGGGCCAGGGGGTCATGTAATCAGAACACATGTACTCGATTAAATGCAATAAAGTTTAGTGCCATGCTTTGGAACATTCACAGTAAGAAAGCATGAGTTTTTCAGCTATAAAACACGTGTGACTGAATAAATGCAAGACAGGTACGCTTAATGCGATATAGTGGAAAATTTCAGGCAAAGCAGTATTGTCTCTATGAGTACTGACATAATCTTTAAAGATGGTATAGAATATATAACTCATATTTAACTACTTTTGACAGCTATAAACAGGCTTAGATTTTGTTACCTGTACTGTTACTACAATTTGTATTATTTGAAATTAGAGAAATACTTCTGTCCTCCACTAAAATGTCCTTCAGGGTTCTATTTTACCTTTTACATCTTGTACAGAGATTGGGCCCGTTGAAAGGTCTTCTCATTTTAAAACACTACAATACCACAAGCAGTTACAAAATGAAGTACGTGCCAAATACTTCTCCACCTCTAACAGTTCTTGTAATGATGTGTCAGTGCTGGTTTAAGTACAAGGCAGCCACGTTTCTGTGACTAATGTAAACAGTACAGCCTGCTGCAGTAATAAAACTTCTTATGTGTGTACTTCCTGTCAGGTGGCTCAAATAATCACCCAAAGTACTGCACTGGACCATGGTAAAAGTACTCTGTAAAGGCCAATATACAGGAGAATGGCACATCTGGATTCAATCAGGTTAAACCAAATGTCTAAGTCATTGTTTTTGTAGGACTTTTACATTATGTATTATTTTTAAAGGCCCTATATTACACAAAATTGACTCTGGAGTTGGAGTTGTGTTTTGTTTCATTCACACATGTTTGAGTAAGACTTTATTATTAGTCTGTACATTTCTGAAGCTCAAAATGCTCTGTTACACCTTATGTCATGAAGTGATAGTTTTCAAGTTAATTACCAGCAACCTTTTACCTTTTTTCAGTAGAGATTAGCTATTCCAGGTCTGAAATTATCCAAATTATTCTAGTGAAGTATGTATGGAGTTTAAAAACACAGTGGAGCACTTCCTGTATTACCACATGACATCACAAAGTGGAACAGAGTGTTTTTGTTTTGAGAGAACTCAGCCTAAATATGCAGGTTATTAAACATGTATGAAGTAAACAAAACACAACTCCTAGTATTATTTTTGATGAGGAAACAACATTATAACATAGATCACAAAACAGCGTCATAGGGGCCCTTTAAATTGATAAGTGGTCCCTAATTTAAAATGGATGTACACGCAGGCTACATGAGGATGGTAAAATTTCCCATGTAAGTAATGAAATGCAGATGTTTCACGGTGGTTTAAGGCTATTAACTGCAATTGCTCGGCCTATCCACATGAAACAGAAACTGACTAGAGTCTAATTCTCTGCCAACGGTAATTAAGCCCAGTTGAACATTTTTCTCTAGTAGTAAAAGTTTGCGGTATTCAAACACACACACTTGATGGCAGCGACCGGAAAAAAGCATTAGACAGATATAGGACATCAGGGGGACTTTATGCTGCTTTTAAGGGCCCATGAAATAGTATGATAATAAAAAGGTTAATTCAACAGTCTGACCTTCTAATTAGAAATGAGTTTTAGTGATATCCACAGTTTTATAGACTCATACGGCAAAAACAGGAGCTTAAATTTAAAGACTTATCAAGGTTTGTTCCTAATTTTAAACTAAATTAATTGTTATTTTCAAGTCTAGATTTATTATGGTAATATTAAAGGTGCACTTTTAATATCAGGCACCTCTCCTGCTGTGTCTCCATGGGGAAAGACAAGTTTTATACCATACTGTGGAATATTTCAAGGAAAGCTGTAACATCTCCATGGAAACAAGCCTAGTTCATCGGCTCTGGCTCCAATTCACTTCATATTGAGAAATTGTGCCCCTCTCTTTGTGACTGCTGCAGAGAGCCTCGTCATTTTGGTCTTAAAATGGGCGTATTATAGCCTGATTCATCAGCTGGTTTCACTTTGTAGACGGTAGATGGTTTGTCTGACCTTGCAGTGTTAGAATTCATTTGCTTGATGTTAGGCAGGTACTTTTTTCATTTAACCAATCGCTGCTATTTGGTTGTCATGTATGTAATGCGCCGCTAACAGAGCTAAATGGTTTATTAAGCTTTTTCCAAATCCCGTAGGAAGAAGGGCAATAATGTCTTTCCCCTTGATAAAATTCACCAAACATTGTCTTTGTTCTGGCTTTAAATCCTCGATCTTGGGAATCATAGACAACATAGAATATATGGCTCTTCTCTGATTGGCTGGTGCCCGAACTCACACTTCCGAGGGTTTTACGAACTGTCTAGTGTATTTTGATTCCTGAGAGAATTCCTGGAGAGAAATGAAATTGAGCTGAGGCACTAGGTGGCGTATTAACCCACTCTACATGATCCTGGTGTTTTTATTTTGCTATTTTGTCCATAATTGAATTCTTGTTCCTTATATAGAACTCAGCTCTAAATTCACACTTCACTTTTAACCTCATGAGCACTATGGCTGACGTCACACTCCCTTTTCCACTCTCTACCAAAAGAGTTACATAGTGCACCCTTAATTTGAATGTGTGAAAATTGTTTGTAGAGTAAAAGCAGAAATGCATTCAGTCCTTTTGTACAGTCAAACTATTATCGAGCGAGAGCCTTTATTTGTCTCACACTGGGGAAATTGCAGTGTTAAAAGAAACAGCTCAACAACAGCAGGAGAATAGCAAACACACAATCAAAATCAAGGAAAATAACTCTAAATAGACTTAACAAGAGACATAAAATAACAGGAGGGTAAAGCTGTAAGGCTACAAAACTAGTGTGTACAAGTGCAGTGCGTCATATGAACAGAATAAACAGGAGGTGAAGTGTCTTTGGTCAGACCAGTAATGATTCATAATATAGTTCAGTGCTTATGACCTAATCTCTATTGAACCTGGGAGTCATAATCATCACATGCTCATTATAATGTCATACTGGCCCTGCACTTCATCTGAGAGTCAAATTAAGCATGCACTGACATCATCGCTAAGCACGAATGCCTTTAAGTCTTTATAAAAAAAATAAAAAGATAGCTACAATTTAGAATTTCAGTAATAGAAATGTCAGTTTATACAATACAAATACAAAATTCTACTCTCAAATTTGTAGTAAAATGCTGTATATGTGTAGCTAAAATGAAAAACTATTTTGGTTCCCTCATATTTATGTGATTGCATTCTAAAAGAGGAGTCACACAATTTAGCAAAGAGAGGGGAGACTAAAAACAAGACTGAAACTTTTAAAATATGTTTATATATTGTTTTTGGCAATTATGGCATTTTCCAAGCGATAAAAGGTAACATAGTAAGGTTATGTGTTAGAAGTTTAGAAGTAATTAAAAAAATAAACAAACTTTTTTTTTTTTTTTTTTTTTTATTCATTTGCAGCATTACAAAACAGAAACAAAACATAAACCACGACTACATGGGTCATGACAGGAAGGGTCCGAACTGAAACAAAGGTACCAAACGCATGAGCAAAAAGTTTGCATTGACAACTCCACTCACTGTACATATAAGAGACAAAATATTAATTAAAACAAACAAAACTCAATGTACAAATAATCAACTCCAGAGCTCTGTATTTTCCAAAATAAACAAACAAAAATAAACAAACTTTTAAAGGGTCTATATTGGCTCTGAAAGTAGAGTTATATCTAATGCCTCCTCGTTATAGTGTAGTATTGACCCCTGCACTTCATCTGAAAGAAATCTGTATCAGGCTCTCCTCTGACCCTCTCCTCTTCTCTCACCCTCAGGAGTGCGTCTGGCGACACCAAAGAGGAGGGCGGCGGGCGTGACTCCAAACCCCGCTCTCTGCGCTTCACCTGGAGCATGAAGACCACCTCGTCCATGGAGCCCGCCGACATGATGAGGGAGATCCGCAAGGTCCTGGACGCCAACAGCTGTGACTACGAGCAACGCGAACGCTTCCTGCTCTTCTGTGTCCACGGCGACGCGCGCCAAGACAACCTGGTGCAGTGGGAGATGGAGGTCTGCAAGCTCCCGCGGCTCTCTCTCAACGGGGTCAGGTTCAAGCGGATATCGGGCACGTCCATCGCCTTCAAGAACATCGCCTGTAAGATCGCCAACGAGCTCAAGCTGTGACGGGCTGAGGCGGCGGGCGCGGGGTGGCGGCAGGTGATGGCGGCAGGTGATGGCAGGTGCGCGCGGGGGACTAGCTCTACGTCACTGGATTTAGCGTAACAAGGAGAAAGAAAAGAAGTAGTGCTCGCCGGGTGCTTTGTGAGGTGGGAGGGTCTGCTGGCGGTTTCAAAAGGAAGTAGGAGGATAGACATGACATACATAGATAAACATAGAACATTTCTTTGCTTTTGTCCCAAGAAATTTGAAAGTAAGTGGTTGCTTAAATCCATCCAAATTGATATATTAAAGGCCCCATTTACATTATTTTCTGATCCATGTAATAATGTTGTTTCCTCATCAAAAACATACCAGGAGTTTTGTTTCATTCACACATGTTTAACACACAAACCCTGCTTATTTAGGCTGAGTTCTTCTCTCAAACAGAAAACATCTTGTGATGTCATGTTGTAATACAGGAAGTGTTTTACCATTTTTTTAATGGCATACACGTTCACTAGAATAATTTGAATAATTTCAGACCTGGAATTGACCATTGTTACTGAACTAAAGGTAAAAGGTGGCTGTTAACTACCTTTTTTAACTTTAAAGCAGTAGTTATCTAGCCAGGCTGGCGCCACCTAGTGCCTCCACTCAATTTCATTTCTCTCCAGTGACTAGGTCAGGAATCGAAATAGACGTTTTGCAAAAACCCCGGAAGAGCCAATCAGCGAAGAGCCATACATTCTGTGTTGTCAACAATTCCTGAGATCGAGGATTTAAAGCCAGAATAAAGAGAATGTTTGGTGAATTTTATCAAGGGGAAAGATGTTATTGTCCTTCTTTCTACGGGATTTGGGTAAAGCTTAATATACCAGTTAGCCCCATTAGCGGTGCATTACATACATGACAACCAAATAGCAGCGATTGGTTAAATGATAAAAAGTACCTGACAACCGCTGAGCGAACAAATTCTAACACTGCGAGGTCAGACGATTTCTACGAAGTGAAACTGGCTGATGAATCAGGCTATTAATTATCAAGTTACCAGCTACCTTTTATCATTAGTTTAGTAGAGATTGGAAATTACAGATCTTAAATGATTCTAGTGAAAGTGTATGGCTTTAAAAGCACTTCCTATATATTACCACATGACACGACAAGGTGGAAGAGAGTATTTTGAGCTTTGGTGATGTAGACAGACTAAAAATAAAGGATCACTTAAAAACAAGACACAGGTCCAGGTATGTTTTTGAAGACTTAACAATATTCTAACATGGCTTAAAGCTCATAATTTTGCGTCATAATATATTATCGCAAAGCTCCCATACAATTTGACCACGTAACCCACACACTGAAAAACCACCGCCGCAGACGTGCCAAATAAAACGCCCGGCGAGCTCATCTCAGCACTGAAGCTCCTCCACGCACACGCAGACTTCAGCTCGTGCAATACCGGCCACGAATGTACTGTAAAGAAGACGGTAACTCTGTGTGAGAGGACCCAACCACTCCCCCCTCCTCCTCCTCCTCTTCTTCTTCTTCCTCCACCGCCAACCACACAACAACCGCCCCCCTTCAACCGCCCCCTCCTCTTCCTCCTCCTCATCTACACATGCAGTATGCAACTCCAACCACGGCCCATTCCGCAATAAGGATTTCAGACGGACATTTTGTTTTTTTTTCGAAAAGCGCTCTCTCTATCTCTCCTCTCGCTGAGTAACCATTAAAAGTACTAAATTAGCCGCTTTTTTCACAGTCTGTGGTAAGTATATAGATCAGGCTGGAGCCCCCATACTAAAACTATGTAAAAAGAGAAGTGTACTGTATGCATTAACATCTGCAGGTACTGTAATTGTATATTGGTTTGCGTTATGTACAGAAATCATTGTCAATATTTGTTAATGTTTTTTTCCTAATATTGTTGATGTCTCTTATCCTTTTTGGTCTGTGAGTTTTAAAATTTTTTTTTTTTTTTTTTTTTTTTAAAGAGCCACCACATGGAAATAGTGTTTTCAATTTTATTTAAAGAGCACTAAGTTATTTTGTGAAAGATGAAGCCTTTTCGTTGACTTTGTTTGCCTATAGAGAAAAACACTACATTGCACCGTATAGACTGATCAGTGGGATGGGTTGAGCGGTCACTTTATGTTGTTCTTCTCGGCGCTGGGCCCACTGGAATTGCACAAGTTTTCCAGGTGAAGCGCACGGACGTGAGGACGCGACCATGTTTTCTCTTATGTTTAATTAAATCCTCAATGACACAGAGAAAATGGGCCAATCCAGTCTGCTGTATAAGGACCCCCTAATAAAAAATAAAAAAAACATTTAAAGAACATATGACAAGTTTTGAATGTTTTTCTAATTATGACTTGGTTTGGTGGGTTAGTACCAGGGCAGTAGATGAGACGAGGACAAAAGGGTCAGTAGTCCCGGGCCCCAGGGGCTTCGAATTGGACCCTGTTCCTATTCATTTATATTAGCAGAGGGCTCGTGTGATGTGTCTTGCCCGGGTTCCCCAAATTTCTGTGAACGGTCCTGGAAAGTACCATAGACTGTACATATAATTGGACATAGCTAAGATACTATCCACAGCATGGAGGCGCTTCTGGCTCCATCATCTGTTTTTAATTGACTTTACATTGAAAAAAGATCACCCCTCTTTTTGTAACTGCTGCTGTGAGCCTCGTCATTTTGGTTTTAAAAAGTTTGTGTTAACCCGTTCTACATGAATCTGATGTTATTTCACTATTTTGCCTGTAAATAAATTCCTATTCCTAGTAGGGAACTGGCTCCAAATTCACTTCTATAATTACAAGCCTCAGTGAGCTTCATTTGACTGGAGCTGAATGCTTTGGGTGATGTTACACTCCTTTAGTCCTTTTTTTTTTTTTTTTTTTTTTACAAAGTCTGATTTTTAAAGGATCTGACTCTTGAAAATGCACCATGACAGAGAATCACGTGTCTGAGATTGTTTCAAGCAGTTTGTTTCTCATGATTCTTAGCAACAATGTTTCTGATTGGACAAAAAACCTGCCAGTAGCTTCTGTATTCGTTATTAAACAAGAAAATGCTATGTAAAATGAATAGATTATATTTTAGTTCATTTTTTACCTTATTTAGCACCTTTTACGACACAATGCACGTGATGTGAAGAGCGTTTATTTGACAAGAATACATTAAAATCCAGTGCAGGCCCTTTCTGTTATCAGATGAGTGAGTGGAGTGGTTGGGGAGGTTTGGCTGGAGTCCTTGTAAACAGACTGGTTTGGCCCTGGCCCATGCAGCGTGACTGTGCAGGTACTGGTGTATCCTCACTCGTGTTCATTCTATAATTTCAGACAGTTTTCTTGTATTTATTCCATGACATTGTAACGTGCTGCTTTGTAGAACTGAGGCGTGCACTTTGTCGGAGAAAATAAAAGGATTTTATTTGTTTGTATTTATTGGAGCTCTTTTTCACATTACAGGTTTTCTTATGTTACCACTGATGGTGTTCTTAGATAGGTACAGCATGTAACTCTCTGGAGGAGGCACATCTGTATGATTCCATGGAAACAAAGTTAAAGCCATACTTTGGAACATTCTCCATGGAAGATTATAGCCAAAGAAACATTTCATGGAAACAAACAAAAAGAGGCTCTCCTCCAGGCTAAATAACAAACAGGTCTGTGTAGATGCAAGCCCTTCTTTCAGTGCAATGAACACATCCAAAACAAAATGAAATAAACAAACAAAAGTAGGTTTTATTTTAGTCTATTTTTGGGCTACAAAGTTACATTCTGTGGTTTTAAGATTGACTTAAATCTTCATTATTCTCACTGGACTGTATAATCTTGACATTTGTAGTTCAAATCGAATTACAACATATAAATAAACAATGTGTTTCCTTGATAGGCCACAGAACCACAAATAGAATCCAACAGGACTTCCATGTTCTGCCTGAAGGGGGAGCTGTAAGGTCAGATGACTCATGATAACTTCTACTCTTACATCTTTCAAATGACACACTGGTAATCTGTTTTACTGTTTCTTTTGATTCATTTTGATATCAAACATGTAGATGCATATTACACAGCAGTGGTTCCTAAAGTGGGACCAGGGGCATTGCAGAGGGGCCCCCAAATGTCCCCACAGCTAACATAAAAGAAATATTTGTTTACTATACTACTTTATCTTAGTATTAAACCTACATGCACTAGTATAATTATATTGCTTTAGTACAGACATGTCTAACTTAGGCCCAGGGGCCAAATTCGGCCTGCGATATAATTATATTTGGCCTATGAGATCACATCAAATATGTATTAGAGCTGGCTCGCTAGCTACAGATAGAGACATTATTTATTTAAAATGTTATTATTTTATATTATGCTTGTTCTGGATTCAGTGTTTAAGCAAAACTATTATTAAACATTTATTTTAATGAGTTAAAGTTTAACATTACATATCTCAAAAGAAAAGAAAGCAGACTGATGTTGAAATGTTTCAGTAAATATTTAGTTTGGCCCACGACTTAGTCCCAGTTTTTAATTTCGTCCCTCTGTGAATTTGAATTTGACACCCCTGCTTTAGTAGTCAGGCTGGCGCCACTTAGTGCCTCTGCTCAATTTCATTTCTCTCCAGCAACTAGGTCAGGTCATCCAATCATTTTAATAGACCATGCATCAAATACATCAGACGGTTTGCAAAAACCCCGGAAGTGCAAGTTCGGGCTTCAGCCAATCAACAAAGAGACATATATTCTGTGTTGGCAATGATTCCCAAGATCGAGGATTTAAAGCCAGAATAAAGAGATTGTTTGGTGAATTTTATCAAGGGGAAAGACATTATTGTCCTTCTTCCTACGGGATTTGGGAAAAGCATTAATATACCAGTTAGCCCCGTTACTGGCGCATTACATACGTGACTACCAAATAGCAGAGACTGGCTAAATGAAAAAAAAAAGTACCCGCCTACCATCGAACAAATGAATTCTAACACTGCGTGGTCAGATGGGTTCTACGAAGTAAAACCAGCTGATGAATCAGGCTACTGCTTTAGTATTTCTAAGGAAAAAATATGGCCTTTTCTGTTAAATGTAGTGTAAATAATTATTGGGACACCCCTCAATAGGAGAGGGCCACGGCACTGCAGACTTTGGAAATGGCTCTTACATAGTCCAGACCCGAAAAAAAGATTACAGAATCCATGATGTAAACCTTTATTGACTTGAACAGTATAATATTAATAACTTAACATTTTAACATGACGTAATGGCTTGTTAGTTAAGATAACATTCTCTGAAGTGTCTAAAAATAGTTGGTAGGGTGCTCTGAAGTTTGTCCATACATTCTTTGTAAAACCACTGTTCAATACTTTATACACATACAAACCATTCACAATAAGCATTTAAACATGGATTGTGTAACTTTTCTGGTGGAGGGTCCTGTCACCTGCTTGTTTCTATGCATGTCTTTGCTCTGTCTGGAATGTTCCACAGTATGACATTAAATAGCTCTACTGTATTTATTCAATTACAAGTGGTTTTATAGCTCAAAAATACCTAGAAAAGCAGACATTCTGATTGTGAACGGGGTTTGGTTTTGTCTCCACAATGACAGAAAGGTTTAATGCCATACTGTGAAACATTCCAGACAAAGTAATAACATTTCAAGTTTGAAAAGCATTCAACAGACCTTCCGCCTGAAAAGTTACACAATGCACCTTTAAGTTCCAAGAATATCCAAATACAAGTTAACATTCTTTCGACCTACAAATATGGCCTTTGTCGTGGTCCCATTATAACTTACAAAAAAGATCATTTAAACATGATTAAGACAGGAAAATGTAAACATCTCATTTTGGCAGATCTCCTCAAAGGGGTTAAAAAGTCTGTTCTCAACCTCGGTACATAAATACGAGATTACAAATGTAGAAATCTTCAGTCATTGCAACAGTAGCGGTTAAACAGGACTAAATGATGACTACTGGCCAATGCTAATCGAATCTATATTGGTCCTATGTCATGCATGGTCCAGCTCAATTTGAAAATGAAAGGCGTATTATGGAACTTTTCTATGTTATGTTCCACAGTATGGCTTTAAAATGATCCATCTTCCTTTTTTTTTTCAATACATGTATGTTTATATATTGTAATTGTGCACAGAACTGACCAGTAACTTGGCTTGTCTCTGTGAAGATTTATGATTTTAATGCCATACTGTGGAACATTTCAACAAATTGATAACATCAGAAAAGTTGCATACCGCACCTTTAAAGAGTAACTCACCTCAAAACATGTCCATTTATAATAATAGTTGTGTAGAAAGACATATTACTGTATATTCTGCATATGAAGTGTACACTGTGAGGTGAAATATTACAAGCACTTTTCACTTGTAATGATTATGGCTTTTAGGTTAAATGGAAATTAAAATACACTTTCTCGTAACATAAATATTATATACAGCGCATTACTCAATCCTTCACCAAAATAACAGATATGTGCTTGCAACATTTCACTTTGTGTGTACTAAAAGAATTGCTGTATAATGTTTTTAGATAATTATAAGTGCACTATGTAACTCTGGTTGGGGGTTCATCATTGCTCTGCCTGAAATGTTCCACAGTATGACATTAAACAGCTCTACCTTACATTTATTTCCTTAACTAACGTAACTCGGCGTGGTTTGGGCTCCATGAAGATAAAACGGTTTAATGCCATACTGTGAAACATTCCAGACAAAGCAGTAACATCTCCACAGAGAAAAGCATTTGATGGACCTTCCACCAGAAAAGTTACATAATGCACCTTTAGCACGATGTATGCTGACAAAGAGTAGGTAAATTAAGGATGTTAGCTCCTCCTCACCTGGTTTGTGCTCTGGTCCCAGTCCTGTCTGGATTATAGTGGAATGATACTGTACACTGTAGGCAGTTTGTCTTCTTCTTGTTTGTCTTAATGTTCAGGGGCCACTTTTCCAGGACTGTGAAGCTTTGGTCGTGGTCGGAGGAAGGTGTGAGCTTGTGGGTGAGTTACTCTTTAAAGTGCATATGACAAGTTTTTCTGTATTTCTAAAAAGGAATGCCTCTGTGCTGTGTCTATATCAGCACAAAATTCCTCTGAAAATAACAGGGAATTACAGCTTTCCTTAAGGTCGGATTTTGTTTTTGATTTTTTGGCCCATTAAACAATCGGGCATGTTAAAGCAGGGCTTGGTCACATCCACGGAAGTAACTAAGATCTGGAAGATGAACCCACGATGGCGGTGTGTTGTTGTCAGTGGCCTGTGCTCAATGGCGCAAAGAGCTTAAAAAGTTTTTTCTTCCGCATTTCTTCCTGAGTACTGGCCTCACGCCGCCCAGTGTGTGAGAAACACGTAGTTCTGACCAATCAGAGTGCTGGCTGCTAGACTGGAGCCAGGGCGGACTCAGAGCGGGGCTTTTATGATTTAAAAATTCTAAAAAGCTGTCGATGCCCTGTCAGCTGAACACATGGGCTGGAGCTCCTGGGAGCTGTAGCACCTGGAGCGACCACTAGTCAGTCTCGCACAGAGACAGAGGGGGAGTGTCTTATCCAGTTCTTATTAAAGATCCATGGTCACATCTGCTGCCTGTGTCCAACCAGGAAGTAAAATTATAACTTCACAAAAAATTTCTAACTACAGACAACTAGGTATATTCTTTTTGCAAAGTAAATATATTAACTATGTTTTAGTGGAATTAGTCTAACCTGTCTCGTTGGCTGCAAAAGTTTAGTAAGTCCAGTTGTTTTAATTACATTTCATGATAACATCTTACTCCTGGACGAACTGCTTCAATGAACCTGCCATATGCACTTTAACATCTCTGTGGCCATTTCAGTTGTTAACATTGACATTATGGATCATGCACTGATATGAACTGACTTCAGTCTTTCGAGTTAAACCCTCTCCCAGTCACATGTCCTCACACTCCTCACACTCCTTCAGTTGCTCAAATCGATCACCAGATGCTCGTAGATCTGAGTTTTCCCTTTAAAACTGGAGGCCAGGAGGAACTGCCTGTTGTCTATGGAGACCGGGTGAAATGCTCGGGGCGCTTGGATATTCAGCTCCTGGAAGTGAACAAACTCTCCCTTCTTTGGATCCCAGCGGTACACCTGCGTAAAGGAGTAGTCACTGCCCAGGATGGCGTACTGCCAGTTGCCCACAGAGAAGGGCTGGAACACCATGGACCCTCTGGATGGCATTGTCTGGAGCTCTCGGAACAGCGCCCCATCCCACCGCATCACCTTGGAGTCACCTATGGACAAGAATATCAAATGTTCATGTTAAAAATGCATTGTGCCACTTTTCTTCATGGAAATGTTATTGCCTGGAATGTTTTACAGTATGGTATTTAACCTTTCTATCTACATGGAGACCAAACCAGACTAAGTTACAGGTCCGATCTGTGGAAAGGCAACCCTGCTCACAGTCAGAATGTCTGTTTTTCTAGGTATCGTTGAGCTCTAAAACCACCATAATAAAAGAAAGGTACTGATGTTTAATGTCATACTGTGGAATGTCCCAGGCGGAGCAATGACATACACTACCGTGAAAAGTTTTAGAACACCATACTTTTTCCAGTTTTTTACTGTTTGCTGTTTACTGTTGACCAAAACGTATTCTAAACTTTTGATTCATGAAAGTGTCCACCTTTGACAGATATAACAACTGAACACACTCCTGGCTTTTTACAACAGAAATCAAATATTCTTCAGAAAGTTCTTCTCAAGTCTGTTGCAGAAGTTCCATAAATGTGTGACACTTGTAGGTTGCTTCACTCTTCTGTTGAGTTTAAGTCTGGACACTGTGCTGGACACTCCATGTTTTCAAGCTTTACCATCTAGTTCTTTTTTCCTGAGGTAGTTTTGGCAGAGCTTGGACTTGTGTTTTGTATCTTTTATCTTTTTTTTTTTTTAACCTCTATCTGTTCAGTTCTTACCTTTGTAACATTTTTAGCTCTTCATTGGACTTGCACAACTTGAATTGCAATAAATAACTGGAAAAATTAGGGTGTTCTAAAACTTTTGACTCTTAGTGTATCCATAGAAACAAGCAGTTGATGGACCCTCTACCAGAAAAGTTACACCATGCACCTTTAAAGGGCACATATACACAATTTTCTGAAGTTTGTTACAGTTTCCTCCTCAAAAACATCGCTGGAGTTGTCTTTTGTTTCATTCACACATATTTAACATATTGAGTTCTTCAGGAATTGCCACTCTCTACTAAACTAAAGGTAAATGGTATCTGTTAACTTTAAAACTATCGCTTCATGACATCACAAAGTGGAACGCAGCAATTTGATCTTTGGAAATGTAGACAGACTAATAATAAAGAGTTACTCAAACATGTGTGAATGAAACAAGACACAACTCCAGGGATGTTTTTGATGAGGAAACAACATTATAACGGGCCATAAACCTCATAATATAGAACTTTTTAATTCTTATGATAATATTGTGACCTGAATAATCCCAATTACAGATCAACAGATAATCCTACACCTACCTATGAACCTGGTCAGGCAGATGAAGAGGTCGGAGTTCACTTTAAAATGTTTCACCGCGTACACATCCTCCATCTCTGGTATATCTGTACGTCTGTCAAACAGCTTGGTCCCTTTGTTCCACTGGTAGATCACTGGTCTTTGGGAGCTACTGGACAATATGAGGTGAGGCTTCGAGGAGATCTCCATGAATTCCACATCTGTATCTCTGTACCAAGGATGGAGGGACTGATGAGAGTAGAAACCATTGCCGTTCCACTTGTAGATGGTGGTGGAACCGGCTTTGGAGCTGTCAGCGATCACGAAGAAGGATTCCCCGTCAATCTTGAAGGTCTCCACGTCGTTGGGTTTACGGATCTTCAGAATATCGATGCCCTGGAGTTTGATGAACTTGTTGGCGGATGTGTCACGTTTGTAAATGTGAGAACCGCCGAACAGCTGAGCCACGATGATGAAGAGCTGGTTGTCGATGATGAGCGGCTTGCAGATGACAGTGGAGGTGCCTGGTGCAAAACAAAAAAAAAATTATTTGTTTTTTTTATATGTAACAGATGTCCAGTTCACCCACATACTCTACCTCTAAAAATGGGGACTGTGTCAATGAAAAAATTACGCAAAATTGTGTTGTCATACAGGTGCCTAATACCAGTGGCTGTACCTATTTTTCCAACAGAATGCATACTTTTTCTTGATATATAATGGTATATATTATGTTAAAAAGTATGTGAGAATTTATGTCTGAAAATCCTTAGATAAAAAAATGCACTTCACTCCACAATCCCACTATCTGTGCAGTCAAACAAGGCCATGCACATCGACAAACAGCTTCATTCTTTCTCTGCCCTCGCACTATGGGCTTCTTGTCAATAAAATGTATTTTCTGGAAAGTAAACAACCCATTTTTGGACTGTTTTGAGTAAAACATCTGATGTAATAAATGGCACAAACACTGCCTGTGTTTCCTTGGACTGCGCTCATGTGATCATCAAGATAAAATAAAAACTGCAGGGATTCTCACATCTCTTTAGACCAGATGCTCATGCCAAGCCCATGGACAATAACGGATTTGTTTTGACTCATTTTGTTGTGCTGCTACTTTTGGAGAGTTGGGCAGTAGTTTGGACAATACTGAGCAGTTGATCACATAAAAATGCTGTTGCTGTGGGCATATGGGTTTTATTGCAGTGTAATTGATTGTAGAGTGGATCCTGTGGTCATAAAGTGTTAAAGGGGATCGATCAAGACAGTTCCTTTGGCTGGTTGGAGCGCATCTGGGCTAAGCTTCATTTTAGTTCATAAATAAAGTGACATGAGTAAAAGGGGGGGGGGGCATCCCTGATTCACCTCGTCTCCTTAGTCAATCATCTTGACAACAATGTTAAAATGTTTTTTGAACTTTGAATGGACTGGCCCCACAGTACGTCTCGGACCTCATCCAGATTTATACCCCTGTGCGTGCTCTGAGGTCTGAGGGCCAGCTCCAGCTTTTGGCGCCTAAGACGAGACTTAAAACCGGGGGGACAGAGCCTTCTCTGTGGTTGGCCCTAAACTCTGGAACGCTCTGCTCCTTCATGTTTGAACAGCCCCCACAGTGGAGGGTTTTAAATCTCATCTTAAGACCCACTTTTATTCTCTGGTTTTTAACACTGTGTGTGTGTGTGGTCCTCTGTGTGTGTGTTGTTTTTTTTTTTTTAAATGTATTTTTATTGGTTTTATTTATTTATTGCTATTCTATGATTTTGCTCTTATTTTATTTTACAGTTTTTATTATTTTAAGACTAGTGTGATTATTTTAGTAGTATATTTTATCATTTTATTATTATTGTTATTATTATGTATTGGTGCAGCACTTTGGAAACTGTTTGTTTGTGAAATGTGCTATAGAAATAAAGTGGATTGGATTGAAAATGCAGCAAAATACAGTTAATACTTCTGGGTAAGCACCCCCAGACCCCTCTATATTTCATAGGATACATGTAGCTCTTTAACTAAATAATGTTCTGTTCTGCTGGACACTGTCAGTGACTTTTCACAGTAAAATAGTCTGGCGGCTGCTGCTTTAATCTGGTAGAATCTCAAATTATAAGTGTAAAAAACTGTGTACATCCACTAACAGTCCTAAAGAAAAAGACGTAACTGGAGTTGGGACGAGCCAAAATCTCACTCTGAGCTTTGGTGAAAAGTTGCCTGCCCCGATTGGCTTTGAGATACAGTGCTAGCCAGTGCACTGCTGTGTTGAGTTATGACATCCACTTAACAGTCTCAAAGGCGTCATTTCCAAAGACTATATTTTGTGTTGAATTGCTATGGTGACAATCCCATTCCATCAACATTCCATCACTACAAAACTCGTGGCTATTCCTGTGCTAAACAGAATATGGTTCTTGTCTGTTCTGACTCACTGTTGATGTCATCGTAGTTCCTGAAGACCATCTCCACATGGTCCCACTCTAAGAAGGTGCACTTCCCGATGAAGGGCTGAGCAAACACCACGTACTGGTCCTGTCCGAAGCTGAAGGCCTCCACAGAGATGGACTCAAACTTCAGACTCTGGTACGATGCAAACTCTGCAACAGAAGAGATCTTTAGGGTCTATGGATAAACTCCACTGGAACGCAAAATCAGATCCACTATTAACCAAAACGATAATAATGCAGATGCTCAGTTTGGTGCATTATTCATTCACTCCACACTAAGTGGTTTACATGTCCAGCCAGAACCATATGCTTTGAAAAAACTTTACAAAAACAAGTAGATCTGGAGCCATATCCTGTCTCCATGATTTCAGAGGGCGTCATTGACAGATGGATTAACTAATCAGAGAGAAGCATGCTCGGTTTGCATCAAAAACAAACACGCTGCTTACACATAAAAAAGGAGAAACAAGGGACTGAGAAACAGTGTGGATTTTCTCAGAATCGGCAATCAAAGCACCAAACTATTACTTATCTCAGGTAAAAGAACTTATATATTTTGTTCTGAATGTTACGAGAACTGTCAAAAGGAGATGTCTTACGCATTTGCGAGACACATGATACAAATGAGTGACTGTGGCTGGATTGTGTCAAGTTTGGACCGAGGATTTTCACGCTACTTTGTCTGATTCCAGTCTCTTCTGGATTTGAACAGAATATAAAAGGGACTGGCTGCTCAGGCAACTCAGTGATCATAACTAGGCCACAGCTGCCCTGGGGCAGACTGACAGAAGCAAGGCTGCCTATCTGCAACATCAGCCCCTCTGATCACCACCAACATTCACACATACAGACATAACACCATCACTGCTCACTGTGGCACCCGACTAACCATGTACTAACCATGCCCAACCTTTCTTAGGTTAGACGGCATTAACAAGACAAAATAAATAAATAAAAATAATGTGGAAAGAGTAGACTAGACTAGACGTGCATTTCCCACACACATCAGTCCAAATACACATCATCCAAAGGAAACCCCGTTCATACTGGTGGAACACGCAAAACCTCCAACAAAAGCCCGAGCCCAGGGACCCTCTAGCTGTGAGTGGAGAGAGGATCTGACAGTCGTACCTGTGGTGATGCAGTCGAAGGATTGGGGCTGCAGGTCGTTGATCTTCTTGTCCACCTGAGAGGCTGGTCCTTTGCAGTAGATCTGGTCCACTGTGGCGTTGGTGTTGTAGATCCACTCCACCAGCCACTTGAGCTTACAGTCACACGTGAACTGGTTTCCACGGAGATCTCTGCAACACCGGGGAAGGCAATATTACTGAAATGTCTGTGTTTTAGGATGCACCTGATAGTGATAATCAGAAGGTGAGCTGAGAAAGGACTGAGTAGGTTGTGTTCACACCATTGAAGAATAAGCATAGTTTAAAATGGAGCTGGAACACAGGACAGAATTCTGTGGTGGAATTTGCTGTTTTATCAGATTGCAGACTTGCTGACCTGGTTTATGTTTAATATCTGTGCAATTACCAGGCCTATCCACATGAAACAAAAACTGGCACAACCTGGTTCAAAGTTCAACAACAAAGTTTAACTTTAAAAATATATAAAAATAAAAGTTAAATTATGTTGAGAAAAATAACTTCAGCTCTGAATTGAGACACATTATCCATCCATCGATCCACATTATCCATTGACACATTACCCATATGGGAGGTCCTTGCTAAAAGCGTTCGTAAAATGCAGAACAAAACTGAAGACTATTTGAATTTGGTTGGTTGAAGCATCACAACAGCAGAACAAACTTTAGTTAAATCCATCCAAGAAAAGCACAGACATCTTCCCTGTCCACATACGCACAGAGCGCTTACTTTCTGGATGTTTTTTTTACAAACAAAATATTACATATTGATTTATTGTTGTTGCCATGTCACTAACCTAAATTACTCTTACAGCCAGTGCACTCCAAGATGGATTCTCGTGAGTTTGTGAAGAATCCATATTGCTGTGCAAAGTTACCATTATTCAACTTTAAACCATAAGATTACCGTATTTTCCGCACTATTGGGCGCGCTCTTAAGCCTCCAACCCCATCAAAAAACAACTGTGTGCCCCACAATCCAGAGCACCCTATACACAAATCCACTCGGGTGTTCCACCATGACTTCAGTAAACTACAAAGCCGCACCACCCGCACCGCACGCAAACACACACAGAGCAGACAGCGACCGTGCAGCGACAAACACCCGCAGCCACACTCATCACTCCACATGGATGAGGAATAGAACGGAGGAACAAACCGGAAAAGCGAGTGCAATGTGCCACTTCTAGCCACAACTGAATAACTGAGTCACTGTGAACACGCCGAACAAAGTCCAACTGACCCATCGAACTGTTGTGTTTCATTTAACGTCCGGTGCAGTTTATTTGTGAAAAAAGTTTGAAAATAGACCATTTAATGACAGTGCGTTTTATAATCCAGAGCACCTAATAGTGCGGAAAATACGGTAATATGAAAAATTTGTGGAACCTGTCCCACACAAAGAATGATAAAGCACAACAATGAATCTCCCATAGAATTAATTAAACAGGCCCCTGCTCTCAGTCTGAAATTATGACATCATCAAATTATAAACCTGAACCTATTCCTTCAAAACAATTCTTTCTGTATTATCTTGTAGACTTTATATTCCACACTCTAAAATGACGTCATTTAACCTCAAACTTATAAAAGCCACAGCCTCTAATGGAGCCATCCACATTTCATTATTAAACCTAATCTGACCACTGGCCTGACGCACAGCACACTCATGAATGTAAAAAGGCATTAAGGACGAGAGAACATCTTTCATGGGTGACAGATTACAGTCCTCTACCTCCTCTTTTTCTTCCTCCTCTTCTTTCTCCTTCTCTTGTTCCTCTTTCTCTTCTTCTGCTTCCTCCTCTCCCTCCTCCTTTTCTTTTTCTTCCTCCTTCTCCTACTTCACCTCTATGTCTTTCTTTTCTTCCACCTCCTACTCCTACTCTACCTCCTCTTCCTTCTTATCACCCTCTTTACCATCTTCCTTTTCTTTCTCCTCCTTTTCTTCCTCCTCCTTTTCCTTCTCCACCTCCTCCTCTTCTTTCTCCTCCTCCTCCTCCTCCTCTTCACCATCTCATGCAAATTTAACTACTTTATTCTGAACGCTGCGGCCGCCCACACACTTTATCAGGGCTGAGTTCCAGTGAAATAATGATACAGTCGTCTATAAATACCCCGGTGTGAAGACAGAGCTGCAGTGTCCACGTTCATTAGAGCTATCGGAGCGTTTGGTTTGGATCACAGATACGGAGATGTTACAAAAGCAGCTTCACACTTACACTTTGGTGAGAGCGTCCAGACCTTTGAACAAGTCTTTGGGCAGAGACTCCAGGTTGTTATAGGCCAGGCTCCTAGACAACAAACAGATATGGCAAATTAAAGAAGTTAAGTAAATACTGTTTTTAGTAAAGGCAAAATACTGATATGTTAGTTGTTGCTTTTGCCGGCAATGCTCCACACTAAGGAATTAAACATGTATATTCTGTTTTATTGGAAAAAAAATGTAAAAATCATGCATTCACAGTTTGAGATTTTTTTTCATAAAGTGACGCAGATGTCTGGGTTTTCGTGATCTTTCATTGGGCCATTAAACTGAGCGGCTCTCGTAGCTCTCTGTGACTCAGAAGGAGCGAGCAGACACAAACAGTCGGTCAGCCTGCAACATGCCAAAGCGCAAATGCGCATTTAACGATGACTTGGACAAGAAATTCCCCGTTTTCTGTCCCGGTCGGGACAAGTGGGAGGCCATGTGCACAGTTTGCGAGGTGAGAGTAGCTCAATGTCAAGGTCCCACCCCCGGTAAGGTGTTTCACAAACAAAAATATGGTCACCCTACTTTAATCTGATCTCTATTTTAACATAATCTTACCAGAAAGAGTTGACTTAAGTGATCTGATATGAACAGTTTTTCAGTTAGTCACTCTCACCTTTTTGTTGAAAAAAAAACAAAAAAACATGAATGCTCACATACATCACAGGCTCCTGAAAACGTGCTGTTTATATCCATTTTACATTTTTTCTTGAGTTTTCAGACTACTTAACTTTTTTGACGGTGCTTGCTAATATTGTGTCAATATTGTATTTGATATGTGAAAGCCTTTTCCTGGGATGTATTTGGCAAGAAGTAGCAGTATACTCAATGACTGAAATCCAGTGGTATTAATGAGGATTCCCATGCCCATGTTGCAAAGTGACCACAGAACAAAATAGAGAATTAGTCCTAACCACAGCCTCGCCAGTATTAAAGATGTATTATGTAATTTCCCAGGTGTTATTGCTTTGTTAGAACACCACATCACTGGCTATTCTTTTTAGCAATAAAAACATTTGTAACTGAGTACATGGGACATACTGGGCAAAGCGACGCATCTCCATGGAGACAAGAAGATAGAGGACACTCCACTAGAAAAATTACATACTGATCTTTTAAAGCTAAAAAAAAAACAAAAAAACTACTTTAAAATTTTTTTTTACTTATTTTTATTTATTTTAATGTATTTTTATTGGTTTTATTTATTGCTATTCTATGATTTTGCTCCTATTTTATTTTACTAGTTTTATTTTAAGACTAGTATGATTATTTTAGTAGTTTATTTTATTATTGTTGTTATTATTATATATTTGTGCAGCACTTTGGAAACTGTTTGTTTGTGAAATGTGATATAGAAATGAAGTGGATTGGATTGAAAGAGAGTATCATGTTATGATGTTGTTCCCTCATCAACAACATGCCAGGTTTTAGATTTGTTAATACATTGTTTTTGGCGAATATTTCATTTTCAAAACAACAAAAGGTAACATGGTGGTCTAAATATGTTATGTGTTAGTCGTTAATATCCATAGAAGTAAAATACCTCCTGTTTAAGTGAAGCCACTGGGCACTTTCTAACTTGCCTACAGACCAATTAAATATGACAAAACTTCTGACACATGCACAGCTATATTCCTCTACAAACTCTATATTTCTCTCACAAATGCAGTCTTACTTACATGTGCACTAGAGTCTTGAGGCCTCGAAAAGCGAACGGCGATATCGATTTGATTTGGTTGTTCTCGATGAACCTGAAAAAGGATCATATGAATCTGTTTTTTACTGTTTGACGTGTGAAGACCATGACTAAGTTCTGTGTCATACTCACAGATACTCGAGGTGTGGCAGGCCGAAGAAGGCATCCTCGTCTATGGACTCCAGCTCGTTGGCCGTGAAGAGCCTGTGAACAGAGGGACATGAAGTCAGTGATGAGGAGGAACTAAACTCATGTGCCAAAAAAGTATTCACAGATTCAGAATACAATTACTTCGCTAACATATATATTTCTGATACTAGGGGCCTTAAATCTCCAGCACAGATTGACATTTTGTTTTGGCCGACCTACAGCAGGGGTCTCCAATCTTTTTCCTCTGCTGAGCTACAAAAATGCCAGAGAGCTACTCATGTTAGAGGTCGCAAGAAATTGAGAAAGTAGAAGAGCTATGGCACGCTTTACCATTATCCATTTAGTGCACAAGTTAGGCATCAAAATTACACATTTACAAAGGTAACTGATCAGATTTTAGTTAGTGAGTGCAATATATATAATTCAGAAATCCCTCAGCGAGCTAATTGGAAGAGGGTGAAGAGCAATTGGTAGCTCCTGAGCTCCAGGTTGGAGATCCCTAAGGTAAACATGTTGCAAAATGGGAGAGCGTGTGAACTTGATCTGAGAACTTGTAGAATATAATTTGAGAATGTGTAGAACAAAACTTTGAACTTGTAATTGCCTATTAGAATATACGTGTGTGATGAATTTGCAGTCACAGTGAAAAAAAGACACGAGTGCTTGAAAAAAATGTGTGCACTTGCGGATTGAAATTTTCACTTGTGGAAAATATTTACACACACGGGAGAAAAATATGAATGAAAGTGCACATATTTTTTTTATATGCAAATAGGCAGTTACAAGTTCAAAGTTTTGTTCTACACATTCTCAAATTATATTCTACAAGTTCTCAAATCAAGTTTACACGCTCTCCCATTTTGCAACATATTTACCTTCATATCTAAGGTTTGTGGTAAAAAGTTGTGAGTGAAATGAATAATTTGAGGAAAATAGTCAAAATCGGTCCTACATATCAGCCCCAAAAATAGCAGCAGAACTTATCGACCCTCAGTTTCTCGGGATTCTAAACAATCGCTGTTGGCCATGAAAAAAAAAGTTAGTAACAATACGTTGTAAAAGAATGTAAGTAATTTATCTTCCACGTACATCTCAGTTTCACACTGACACAAAAGCTATATTTACACCATGATGTTCCCTTGGCAAACCATTGGCACACCATTATCTCAACTGTGGCATATTGCTGTCTAACCGGTGTCTACTGACCTTCATAGTCTCACTACTTACTTTATGAACCTCCTCCTTTGAAAGCATATTCAAAGAGGCTTGAACATTCAAAGATCATACTACGTTCTCTTTTGAAATCATACTATGTTGACTTTTCAAGTTTCTCCGGGCCCGTATTATTGATAGTAAATAAACTTCTCCTGCATAAGACATGCAGTTGGTCTCCAGCCTTTTACTTCCACTCTTTCTTGGACAAGCTGAAAATTTCCACAACATATGTCACATATGTAATGTGTTTTACAGGCCTGTTACTGCCTCTGAAGTGCTACACCATCATCATTATTTATTCACTCTATACTTGTGGTGGTATAATACTATTGTAGCCACAGCTGCCCTGGAACTGACTGCTCGAAGTGGGGTTAAGTTCCATTCTGTGCCATCAGCCCCTCCAATCACCACATTTATACTTGCATGTACCACTAACCACTGACTGTTGGTTAAGGCTATGAGGTGCCAATCCCCTAACAGAGGTACTTGGTAAAACAGTTACGCACCCCGAAATGCAGCATTCTGTAACTCAATCCATTTTCAAGCTATACTGAAAATCACCATCCTCTTGTACTATTCTGCTTTCCATCTGCGGCACATAAATAACGCAGCATGAACTCCACTCTCTTTGCCTCTCTACACTCCTCTCACAGGGGAACAGAGCAGAGAACAGCGGGCCGGTGGGACTCCTCTCTCTGCCTTCACATGTCGTCCAAATGCACCGCGAGTCTACGCCCCACGAGACCGCGCGGGGCTGAGGAATCCCCGGCACAGAACCAGGGCTCCCCGCACCAAGGAAACCCTCTGGAACGCACCTATCGTTACAGCGCAGCTCGGGTGTTTAAAGGCGACAAATATGGCGTTTGTCAGCGCAGAAAAACTAGCACAGCATGCACCAAAGTGTGACAGAAGAAAAATACAGGGAAATACTCACAGGAGGTGCAGGGCAGGCGTGTGAATAAAGCTTTCCTTCGGGATTTCTGTGAATTTGGATTTGACGAATGATCTGTGAAAACCGAAACAGAACGCAGGGTTGTAATGCGGCAAAATACGCAAAGAATGGTGTTGTTTTTTGAAGACTTACAGTGAAATAACATCTGGAGGGAAACTGCGAGGTATCAGCCCCGCACTCTCACACAGAGCGTTATCTTTGGTACATGTACACGAGTGGTGACAGCGCGGTTGCCTGGCTTTCTTCGCGCTCACACAGCTAACTCCGAGCAGTAAAAGTAGCAACCCGAGCCTCGTCAACAACACCGGCGCTTCTTTACGGCTCCTTTCCATCCTTGCACGCCGAACATGAACCGACAACGTCCCCGGAATCTTGCGCTCCTTCCCGGGTACTTAAATCCGAGCAAATCTCCGTGCGTAATAGCGGTAATAATAACAGCTACGAGATTTCTTGCACAACACCGCAGTGGGATGGCAAAGAAAAAAATTAAAAACGATGACAAAAATGCTATTTAATTACCCCGCAGCGGTTTTATCGGTTGCAGCCCCGGGAAAATGTCAAAATAATCAGAGGCAGAGCTGGTGCGTGGAGCCAGTGGCCGAGGCGGTGCGAGGCGGGGAGAGGGAGCGAGGGAGATCGGCAGAGGGGCAGGTGGGGATCCCAGCGGGAGCAGACGGAGCAGCCAGCAGCATCCCCATCCAAAAACCACGCCCATATGATTTCACCATCTCCACAGTGTCAGAACGAGCTCGTGCAAGAAGATTCACCCATGGGCGCGAAGCAGTGGCGTTGATTTGGAGTGAATAAACCAGTTGTGGGGTGGAAGTCTTGGCACGGATGACGCACTGATGTTGTACGCGCGTGGGGGAAGCCACGTGCGCGTCGGGGATGTGGGGATGACTACATGTGTGTGTCGGGATCCATTCGTGCCGCGTTCACACGTTGCTGAACTGGTGTCCTCGCGGTTGCCATGGCGATCGTCTGGAGCCCGTAATAAACGTGATTGCCTCGTGATGGGGATGGTGGGGGTGTGGGGAGGGGGGTACTCCTATCACATTGACAGATGCAGGGGCTGTTAAGTGGACCCCATCCCCCAGCACCCTCACACTGGGTTGAGGAACAAACATTAAGACTGTTGTTTTTCGAGATATTCATAAGATCATTGTTCTACTTTGTAATATTTTCAGTCTAAAGGGCAGTGATGTGACAACCAGACACATTACTGTTACTGGAGAAGGCAATGAGGAGGGGGAGATGCCTTGCTTGAGGATACAAAGTCAGTATGTGATTAGGCAGGGGTCAAACTGGCAACCTGCCAATTCCCAGATGGATGCTGAAATCATTGCACCACATGTTGCCCATGATGGTTCCAATGAGAAGAATATTCATAATAACTGGAGAAATTGGCACTCTTATACTGCGTTGTGCAACTGAAATAGGTCCATGTGTTGCGCTGACAAGATTTTTTGATGTTACATGAACTAAATCTGATTTGCTGAAGTTACGTTATCCAGTGTGCACTCTTCAAAACAGAAGATAACACGATCACAACTCAGCCTCTGCTGCAAGTGCCCTCACCTGCAGATAAGGACACATACAAATTTGACTAATTCTCTGGTTATGGACAGGCCTCATGTGAAAGCTCAGAACCTCCAGCTCTCACTCACTGAGCTGCAGAGGCTGAACTAGCACTAGTACTGATTCATGATTGGCTGTAGGTGTTGGAGTTAAAGTGGTGACCATTCAGATCAGAGAGAGGCAATTTAGGTTTAAACTAAGTGGATTTCAGCGCTGAAACTTGCAACACAAAATGACTGAGACTTTTGTGAGTTTTAAAATCAAACTCTTACCTATAGTTTATTTAAGACATAAGTGCTGTGAGTTAAAAGGATCCAGGCATTTCCAAACTTCTTAGCCCACAGGCTTCCAGTGAATTGGTCCAAATTACCTTGCATCAATAAAAAGCATTACTTTTTACTGCAAGTTTTTTGAAAATCTACGTTAATAAAGCTAACATTTAATATTTAGTGTGTGGTTTTAAGGATCTTAGCATGAATATAGACTAATGGCCCATTTTAACGTGTTAAACATGCACATATTTAAATTATTCACTGTACTGAGCACCAGTTTATGGCCTTCAATCGGCCCTCTGCTTCATCTGTGTTTAGATATGTGGCCCTAGATGAAAAAAGTTTGGACACCCTTGCTTTAACCCAGAAGATTAATATAAGTTTGTGGTGCTAATCCATAACAAATAATAAGATGAAACATCTTTGGATAACTTTGGATATTTCTTCCATAAACAATGCATCGCCCATAGAGTTGCATAGACCTTATGTGAAATTAAAACATAAATACAGGAAATTAACCTCTAAAATCCCATTGGTATCTATATATCTCACAACAATCAGTTTTTCCTTCCAGACCAGACCTCCTCCTCAGTGACTCGCACATCCAGTCTAAAAGCTCCTCTGATCAGATTACGCCTTCAATACCCAGCATCTGTTTGGGTCCTAATTCAATTCAACCTCAAAAATAAAAGACCGCGGGGGTATCTATTACTTGATCCAGAGAGTGTAAAGACATGGATGTGCCCAACAACTTGAGTCCCACTAGAGCTGCACAATGTACCACAAACATATCAGTATTGGCTCTTGACTAATATCATAGGAAATAACGTAAAGTGTAAAATGCAGGTAGATAATAAAGGTAAATTTTTCAAGATTTGTTTTTTAGTCTTAGGTTGGTCACTGGGCCCATATTACACTATATTCTGATCTTTGTTATAATGTTGTTTCCTCATCACAAACAGACCTGGAGTTGTATTTTGTTTCATTCACACATGTTTAACACATAAACCCTGCAGATTTCGGTGTTCTTCACTCAAGCAGAAAACACTCTGTTCCACTTCGTGATCTCATGTGGTAATACAGGAAGTGCTCCAATAGTGCAGAATTACTGTTGACACAACACATCATCAGTAGGGTCAAACTAGTGGGTGAAAAATCGAAGGATTAAAAAGCTACGTCGCTATGAACGCTTGGCCACCACAAGCCAGTTATCTCTGTGGTAACTTTTCTGACACCTCCAGCTTAAAACCCAAAATGTCAGAAGTGTTTTTAAACTCCATACACCTTCACTAGAATCATTTGGATAATTCCAATTTCTACTGCCAATCTCTACTGAACAAAAGGTAAAAGGAGCTGTTAACTTGAAAACTACCACTACATGACATCACAAGGTGGGACAGAGCATTTTGAGCTTTGGGGATGTAGACAGAATAATAATGCAGGATTACTCAAACATGTGTGAATGAAACAAGAAGAAGGATATTATTACATGTCTTAGGCCTTACAATCTTCAGTTTGGCATAATATGGGCTCGGTTTTTTGATGACAGATATCGCTAAGCAATTCCAAGGCTGCAAATTCTCTAATGATTCTAATGAAGGTGTATGGAGTTTAAAAACACAGATGTGCACTTTCTGTCTTTAATGACATCACAAGGTGGAACTGAGTGTTTTTAGTTTGAGAGAAGAATATAGCAGACAGGGTTTGTGTGTTAAACATGTGTGAATGAAACAAAGCAAAACTCCAAGTAAGTTTTTGAGGAGGAAACACCATAACATGGACCAAAAATGTGCATAGTCCAATGAGGTTCATTTGGTCTTTGGATAATTTATGTTATTGGGTTCTTTTTTCAGACCAAGAGTTTGTTTTCATACCTGACAGTTTGGACTGCTCACTAGCGTTCTTCCTCAGAGTGGTCATGTGATATTGTTGTGTTGTGTCCGGTCAGCTGGTCAGCTGGTCAGATTTATACAGGTTTTGGCGCTGTCCCAGTAGAGGCAGGACGACAGCGCCATCTGCAGTCCGACTTCCTCAGGACAGTATCCCAGGTGTGTGAGAGTAAAAAAGCCCCCTCGTCCCGGTTTATAGTCCCGTGGGTACGTTTCTGTATTTCAATTGCTTCTTTAATCCACTAGTGAGCAGTTGAAATTGTCAGGTATGAAAACAAACTGTTGGTCTGAAAAAAGCACCCAATAACATAAATTTTCATAATGTACTGTAGGTCCTTCAAATATTGCAGTAGTACTGTTATCACAATAATAAACACAGTTATCAAATATTGCATCTCTTTCTCGTATTGTGCAGGCCTGATTCCCGCCAGACTCTTCATGGCATGAGACCAGCTGAGGAACACTGGTGCAGATTGTTGTCGTGTGAATAGCATGAGTAGTTTTGGTGCTTGATATAAAAGACGTCATTCATAAGAGGACAGAGCAGAGGCCTATGGCTGTTTGGCCGGAGGAGCGGGCATGTTGAGTGGCATTCACAGATTTGGGTATTCTCCGTATGGGGGCGGTGCCACTGTTATTCTGACTCATGGGGGCAAGTACATTGGGATTCTTCTTGTGACGGGAGTTTCTTGGTATTTGGGGTTTTATTTGTGGGGGTCTGAGTCATTTTAGAGACAGCAGACAATGTTAGAGATGTGCAAAAACAATGTAAAGATTATTCAGGCTTTAGAGCACTTTTGGACTTTGATTTTGGACAAGATAAGCTTTTGTCAAAAAATGGAAAAATTTGTCTTGAAAATGTGTGACATAATAAACAATAGACAACATCCAAACACAAGTGACTGACCGAGAGCTACACAGTCCACAACAAAGAAAAAAATATTACACGTATTCACATCCACATTGTACCCAAACTATTACACAATCCTCTTATGGCCTTAAAGCTGCATTGTGCAACTTTTCTGGTGGAGCATCCATCAAATGCTTTTCTTCATTGAGAGGTTATTGCTTTGTCTGGAATGTTTCACAGTATGGCATTCTATCTTCCTGGAGACCAAACCAGATCAAGATACAAGTTAAATCTGTGGAGAGGTGACCCAGTCAGAATGTTTGTTTTTCTAAGTATTTTTGAGCTGTAAAACCAACTGTAATTGAATAAATGTAAAGTAGGGCTGTTTAATATCACATTGTGGGACATTCCAGGCCAAGCAATAACATCTTCATAGAAACAAGCAGGTGACAACCCTCCACCAAAAAAAGTTACACAATACACCTTTAAAGAATAGCTCCTACTGTCCTCTCCCACAAGGTTCAAAAGTGCAGGTAAAAATAGCACTACTCCTTATATGGCCTCCAGTAAAGTCTGTTCTGGAGATTGTCCTTAACTGGCATAAATAAATTTGTCAATAAATAATAAATAAATAAATAAAACATAGAGCAGTCCTATAATGGCATCACAAGGTGGATCCAGGTTCTTAGAGCCCTGAGAAGGGAGACAGAGTAGATTGAATATGCATATGAAAACGTGTATAC